CTCAGTGAAGTTCCATTTGCCTGAGCTTTGCAGTATTATTAGGAACAGTGTTATTTCAACTGTGAAAAAAGTGGGAACAAAAAATAAAGTTTTATTGTACGGATTTCAATAGCTCATTCATCTGGTAAAAATCAGTTAAACTGGCTTGCTTTTCTTATGTCCAAGTCTTGGAAAAAAAAAAAAAAAAAAAAAAAAAAAAAAACCAAAAAAAACCCAAAAAAAAACCGAAATTTTTCCTTGGCTTCTTGATTGCCAAGAAAAGGGATTTCAATACTCATTTATCAATTACTTGGAAACACCTAATACCAAGGTTAGTTTCAAATTCTGATTTCAATTTGCTGAAAGCAAAGATGCCAGTAAATTTTCAATCTATCAGCTTTGGCCCAAGCTATGTCTTATGATAACAAAAAAAAAAAAAAAAAAAAAAAGACACAGACCAAAAAAAACCCAAGAACAAACTGACATTCTTCCTTGACCTGGTTATCTTTTCAAGCCTTCAATTTATGCAGTTCTAAGCAAGAAACATCCCTGAGTCTGTTTCTTGAGTACAAGATCAGGAATGAAGAATTTAGTGTGCTGTCTCTGAGGGCCAATTCCACCCCACTAGCAGTAACTGAGAGTGTATGGGAAGAGCTAATGAACATGAAAGACAAAACAAAGGTTTACATTTCCCCTGAATTACAAAGCTCAGCTCAATAAGGGTTCGTATGTACCCTGGGAACCCAGGCTTCAGAACAGCTAGTGGATGTGTAAGTATATTCATCCTTACCCTTTCACGTAGCACCTCTCATCCCTAAGTCTCAAAGCTTTTAAGAAAGAAAATTGGTATCATGGTCTCCTTTTCACAGGCAAGGTGGTCTTGCCGAAGACAAGTCACTGACCTTATGCTAGTCTGACAGCTGGTACCCAAGTTGTCTGACCTCCCAGTAGTTCAGAACACAATCCACCAGGCAATGCTGGCTCGTGCAAAACACCAGTTAGATGTGGGTTACATGTAGAGAAGAGACCAACAAACATTCATACAGGTTAGACAGTTTTCCATAGATGGGCCATGCTGGTACTGTGGTAGAAAGGCATCTTCGTTTCCTCTGGCCCTACCTCTTCTTGCACATAAAGGAAATGTATATGGCTATATCATTAAAACATGAAAGCACATTAGACCGAAGAAAAGATGCATACTGGGAGCATCATTTATCTCTGAGTGTGTTTTAGCATCCCCTTGGCTGCTAAGTAGCAATAAAAATGTAACATATATGCCATGTTTCCATGTCAAGCAAGAAGATGTGTTGAGTAAAAGTAAAGTGAGGCAGCCTATAAAATAGAGGAACAATGATTGTTTCAGTTAAATGTCTAGTGCTTCAATAAGAACACCCTTCTGTTGCCTCCACTTGCCTACCAATGCTGACAGGGGTTTTTTTCCCCCATAATGACTGAATACTGTCAGTTTGAATAGTCTTTGTTGGGAGTTTTACTAAAACAAGTAAAATAAAATTAAATTGGAAAAAAAGAAAAAGTGAAAGAAGTGTTGACTCAGGAGTCTGCAAGTCTCATCAGAAGAAATGATTGCTTGTTGCTGCCCAGCTCCTGGATACAACCCTGAGTACAAGGCCAGCCCACAGGAGGAAACACGGGGGCAACAACACACAAGCTAAAAGAAACACAAATAAGACCTGCCCATCAGGATCAGCAGCTCCCCAGGAAATCAGCCCACATTACCCCAAGCCAGTTGCTCAATTTCATACTGAAAGCACGATTCAATCAGCAATGTGCCATTTCAGGCTGGTGCCTGGCTAGCACTCCCACATCATGGTCTAAGTGCTCCACAGCTATTCTGCTTTCTGCACCTTCACTGAGCTCCAGCAGCCAAAGCAACAATCCTTGGGGATCCAGCATGGGAAAAAAAAGGTAAGATATTTCATGTGACAGCAACAACAGAACCACAAGCCACACGGCATTTGTGCCTGAGCCCCGTTTTGAGGATTCCAGGCACCAGCACAGACAGAGCTGCCACTGCCTGCTCAAAGCAGTTTACAGTTTGAACCTGAATATTAGACAAACTTTACCAAGCCTCAACTATCAACCTGCATTTTGCATTTCCATGACCTTCACCCACCTGTATATTGTGACAATACCAGAGAGGACTCTGCACCTCCTGTTTCAGTGAGCCTTCCTCAATTAGCCAGTCAGTGGTATTTCACATTAAGGAAAGTTTACTTTCTATTCTAACCTGCATTATTTTTGTACATATCCATCTTATCTACCTTATGCATTCATTTTTGTCCTATGTATGCCCAAGAAATGATCAGGATATAAACTACTTTCACAAGTCAGATTATCAATTAGAACTGAACTCAAACAACCATTATGCTTGAAAACAGACTACCAAGTCAATCAAGAGGAAAATATTCCTACTTTGGATTTAAAAGCTCCACAGCGTTTCAGACACCTAAATGAGCAATTCTACAGCTTATATAAATGTTAATCAGATATCGGATAAAGAATTCAAAGACTCTGTCTTGCATTTAAAGCATGTTATAGTTCAGAGTATTGCATTTTTAGATAGTCACAACCTACACAATCCTTTTCTAGACCAGAGCCAAGATCCAGGATAGAAACAAATAGTGAAAGAAAGATGGAAGGAACACCCAGCATGTGAAGATCTGAAAAAAAAACAAATTAATATTATTCCATCTTATTTCTGCAGAAATCAGGCAGTCATGAGTTACTGTTTCTATGCTGCTGCTGAGGGGTACAACTGCAGATTTTCAAAACAGGGGCCTTGAGCCCATGTCACCCTTCAGGCTTTAACTGTTCTGGGGCAAGAGGCAGAGAGGGGGATTTAGTTTGTTCTCTCAGACCACATTCTAGTTTACAGGCAACCTATATAGCAGCCATATCTAATTTAGCCAAGCTTTTCTCTGGGAACCTATAACCACAGATAGTTACAGATACAGAAATAACTTCTCCAAAGTAAACCATGCCCAAAGGTACTCAGTGCTTAGGGAAATGATTTAACATAGCATCTACTCTGATAGATATTTCTCCATACAGCTTTCTCCTACTATGACTCCAGCAGATATGATTTATTATCTCACCTCTGAAGAAAAAAAAACCTTGCACTGTTGATAGTCCTTCATGTGTGTCTGACCTGCAAGCACAGAAGCTTTCTCTTGCCCAGCTCTTCCAGCTCAACCAAGTCCTGCTCTGCTCTAAAAGCTTCAAAATTTAATCCTTATTGTTGCCCAGAGAGAACCCAGAGAGTCTAAGCAAACAACCCAGTCCTTGTTTGAACTCTGCAGAAGTCGGACAACAGAAGATGAGTTACCTGTTTTACCTTATCTGCTTGACCTTCTTACACAGCCATGCAGCGAGTGATAGACTAATGAATAAAGGAGATCTATACTTAACATTCATAAAAGATAACACAGGCATTTTCCTAGTACACTACAACCGTAATTCAGCTTTTTCTGTGCAACTGCATATCTCCAGTGAGGCTAATTTACAGCTGGGAAAGGAGAACTTGCTGCTTCTACTTGTGCGATAAAATCCAATTCAAGTGATGCACTACTACAATTCCTCTGCAATTAATTTCCTCAATGTTTAGAACTAAACCAAAATATGCTTTCATGTTCAGGCTGTTGTATTTGTTTCACTCTGCTTCCCTCTGGAAGAAGTGCACCTTCGCGCCTTGCTGGATTTTTGTTTGAAAGACCACAAGAGGGTTAAACTAATTTAAGGTGAATAAATTTCTCAAGGTAGAAGGTTCTTGTACTTCTGGAGCCAGGGGAAATGTGATGGCAAAATAAAATTCATTTTGAATTTTGGCCACGAGAAACAGAAGAATGTTAGCAGAAGATTAATCTGAAGAAAATGAATCTGTGCCCTTATACTTGAGTTAATTGTCAGTTTAATGTAGTCAGACTTGCAGAAAAATCAATCTGTATGCACCATACCAGCTAAGCACAAGACATTTATACCTAAAATGTTATTTTTCAAAAGTAAATAAGAGTTAAGGAAGCAATGCAGGAAAAAGGTAGGACTAAAACCCAACAATGCTTTCCAGGCTACATTAGTTCTATAAATGCACAATCTTTATAGCCTAAGCTTCCCTCTTCCTTGTCCCAGATACTGATGAACAGGAACAAAGACAGTCTCTTGAGAAAGCCACCTACCCTGCACAGAGGCGAGGGCCAGTCTGGACCATGGGTTGGTGGAAGCACACCTCTCTGTGCAGGAGGTGCAGCTTTCAGCCCCACAGATATCCACGGCAGCAGACAGCTCTTCTCTCTGCTGGCTGGCTGTTTGCTCACATCTTTTCCGTGGCTTGTACGGGGGTAACCTTCTACTTTGCTCACCGTCTTCCCTGTTCATCCACATCTCTCCTTTCCCCCTTCATTTGCTTACCTTAATTTGTCCCTCATATACCTCCACCATACAGTTCACAATACATACCCCTTGTATGTGGGGTGCCTAAGACTTACCCAGTACTGCTCCATCACTTCACTACATGTTGTGACTGTGTGAGAGTGTCCACAGCACTACATAATGCACAGTCTTCCTATACAGTGCCTATGTCACAACAAATGGGGCTATTCAGGCCTACTGAAACATTTTAATGTCTTTTAAAATATCTGACCATACCCCAACCTCTACCCAAGCCACAGGAGCACACTTATTACAGAGTATTGTTAGCAGCACAGTTTGGAAGAAAGCTTCCAAGCAAACTTCAGAATCAGTTTAATTAAATCTTAGCTGCATTTCTCCGCTGCTGCTACGATAAATAAAAGCATTGGTATGAGAACAACAGAAAAATGGAGAAATTAAAAGCTGACACTCTAAAAAAGCTGTAATATTGCTTCTTTTCCTTCCCTGCTCTTTCCCTTGAACAGCAACGGTAGAATCGCTCTTTGAGCTGGAATACACACCTCACAAACCCAGCTGCAAACACATCTTTTCCCAAAAAGAATGCCATATCTCTGAACTAAGCCTTCAACACTCACCCAAAGTGTTTGTTGCAAAGTTTTTTTCAAGTCCATCTTCAGTTAATTCTCTGGTATTCACCATACATCCTGCATTGTTGATCTGTAAGACAACTCTTGTAAACAAAAACAATCTGCACAGGTTATCTTCAAACAAAACTATACATTCAAGCAGGCCATACTAGTTTGTGTTGCAGTGCCTGAAAACAGCAAAGCTACAAACTGTTTCAATAAATCATGCCATTCCAAGTCGCACCACTCTGTCACTGACTGCAAAGGTTTTTCACAAAAGATCTTCAGAGAAATGGATCACTGCAGATATATTACAGTAAGAGCCAACAGTCCCCTTAAGTGCCTCTTTTCTTACAGAAAGTGCTATGCAAGTTGTAGAGCAGATATTAGAACATAAATATGCAGTGTAGTTTGTTGGTCTCACCTGAGAGACCACACACCCCCCACACAACCTGTGCTATGTGATGATGGATTCTCCATTAGGGGATGTTCACTATGGGAAGCTGTGCAACATGTAGTAGAATGGCCTGCAGGAACTCCCACCCTCAATAAATTCAATAAATTAGCTCCAAACTTGGCAGATTAGCTAGGTCAGCAGTTTGCTGCATCCTAGTTAGCCCTGAGAAGAGTAGAGCTAACCAGCAGAGGTGCTTCATACTGACTTTGTGCCCTGGTTGTAGGCACCCTCAGCTTTTCTTTCTGCCCTGTAATCCCACACAGATACCCCACCTGAGTCACAAGCTGCTAAAACAGCACTGCACCACACAGCATGGATGCACTGTAAGGTGAAACCTCATGAAGAGTCAGAAGCTTGCAAGCTGTGTGCAGCTAGCATATTCTCAGACACACTTCTCTCTTTGCCTTACCTTCCAGAGGAAGCTCAAGCTTTTATTTTCCACCTCAAAAAGTTATCTGCCCCTACATACCTTCCTGATTGTTCGTGGCCACTCCTCAAAAGCTAATTTCTCATTTCTATCAGAATTTCCTCATCTAGTGAGCACCAAAACAACTGCTCCAGGTGCCTCAGTTTTAGTTCAGCCCCCAGAGCAAATTTTCACAGCTCAATAAAGAGGAAAGTGCTGAGCTCCTTACCAGTCACGCTGCTTAACTGCTTGCTCTCTCCCTGGCTGTTTTAGGCTACACTTTCCATAAAAGTTTAATCTTTAAGCAGGATGAGCTTGAAGCAAGTGTGATCTGCTCTTGGGAGGAGGCATCAGACTCTGCCATATTCTGTTTAGCAGAATATGCATAGCCTGATATGCAACCTAAAGGCCACGGTGTTTGCATGGTGAGAACCTCAAAAGATGCAGCCTAAGAATTACTGCATTTCTCTATTATTTCTTTTTAGTGTCATATCTGTGTATGTGAACTGAGAATAGACAAGGGCAAATGGATGCTGGAGACTACTGCAGCAACATCTAGAGAAAAATTAAGCAAAAAACCACAGGTCAAATTGTAAAATCTAGACCACCCTTTGAAGAACTCCAAAGACACACTCCAAAGACAAATACGTGATTTAAGTACGCAAACTTACCAACACATTTAATTTATGTTCATTTTTGAATTTTTCAGCAAACTTCCAGATTTCCTTGGGATTAGATATATCCACAATATGCAAGAAGATATTCTAAAGGAAAAAAAAAATTAAGTTACAATCAACATGGAAAGTGAACAGACCCTGTTCACTGCTAAGGACTGACTAGGTAAAAAGGTATTTAAGCAGTATGAAAAAAAATGTTATTATCCAGAATACAACTAAAACACAGTTAACATGCACAACTGGGAAATCTAATTCTAGTTCTTAAAACATGTTTAGTCATTCAAATCAGTTGCTTCTGAGCCATAGCTTTTTAATGCTGAATTTATTAAAAGAGAGCGCTACTTAGATAAATAGATGTGACAGACAGTCAGGCGTAGCAGAGAACTAGAAAAATACTGCAAAGCTTGCAAACCTTCTGTTTAAACAGTTCATACAGCAGCTTCCTCTTTAGCTGAAAGCACCTTTCCAAAGCAATGCTCAAGGTCACAGTATTAGAGAATAATTTAGGTTGGAAGGGACCTCTGGAGGCTTAGTCCTACGGCTGCTGTCTCAAGGTGGGCAACTGAGATGAGATCATCCAGGGAAGTTCTATTTCCTAAGACGGAGATTTACCAGCCTCTCTGAGTATCCTGCTCCAGTGTCTGACCACCCTCACCGTGGAAAAAAATATAATCCTACTATATAGTTAGAATTTTTCCCTGATACAATCCGTCTGCTGCCTCTTGTCCTTTCACTGCAGACCTCCAAGGAGCATGGCACTGCCTTCCCTACACCCTCCCATCACGTGGCTGCAGACTACAGTAAGAGCCATCTCAGCCTTCTCTTCTTAATACTGAGCAAAATCAGCCCTCTCAGCCTCTCCTTGCACATCACATGGCCCATCTCCCTAGTCACCTTGGCAGCCCTCCACTGGACTCACTCCAGGACATCAATGACTTCCTTGTCCCTCAGAGCCCAAAACTGGGCACAGGACTCCTGCTGTGGTCTAACAAAGGCTTAATAGAGAGGAAGATGCACCTCCCTCAGCCTGCTGGCTACACTTGTGGTCATACAGCCTGGGATGTAGTTGGTCTTCCTTGTCCCAGAGCACACTGCTCACTCAGGGACAACTTGTCACCCCCAGGTCCTTTTCTGCAAAGCTACTTTCCAGCCAGCTAGCCCCAGCCTGTACTGCTCCATGGGTTTATTCCATCCCAGGGCAGGATTGTTCATCTGTTCTTGGTGAACTTCTTGAGGTTCATGTCAGCCCACTCCCTCACCTGTATAGATCCCTCTCAACAGCAGCCCTGCTCTCCAGTTCCCCCACGTGACATTATCTGCAATCTGACAAAGATTGCACTTCACTCTGTCGTCCAAGTTGCTAAAAGTGCCATTAAATAGTTTTTGACCCTGTATTGACTCACGGAGGATGCCACTATAATATGATTAACAGATCAGCTTTGTACTGTTGATTGCTGCTTTCTGAGCCAAATGTTCCTGACAGTTTTCCACCCAGCTTGTCATCCACCAGTTCAAACCACACCTCTCCAAACTGGCTACAAGGATAGTATGGCAGACCATGTAAAAAGCCTTGGCAAAGTCAAGGAAAGTGGCAAGCAGTGCTCTCCTCTCATCCATACACAGAGTCATCTCACCAAAGCAGCAATCAGGATGGTCAGGCCAGGTTTGCCCTTGATAAATCCACACTGTTTTTTTCCTCAATCACCTTCCTGTCTTTCACGGCTTCTGTGAGCATTTGTTCCATAGTTTCCCTAGGGAGCAAGGTGAGGCTGACCATCCTGTGGTTCTTCAAATCCTGCTTGCCTTTTTTGAAGATAAGTGGTTTGCTTTTTTCTAGTTCACAGAAAGCACCTCCCGTTTTGAGAAGTTTTCCCTTGAAGATCAACCAGCTTTCCCAAGGCCTTTTGCTCTTCACGGCTGTCTCCCACGGGATCCTGCCAACCAGGTCCACAAAAAAAAAAAAAAAAAAGACTGCTTTCCTATAACTGAAGAGTGTAATTCTACTACTCATCCTTGTCACCTGTCTCGATCTTAAATTCCACTATCTCATGGCCACTCCAGTAAGGCAGCTATTCCAGACTGCTATTTATAGCAGGTCAAGCGGAGATCACCCCTAGCTGGCTTATCCAACAGTCATATCAAAAAATTGCCCTCAATGCTCTCCGGAAGTCTCCTATATTCTTTATGCCCTGACATGTTGCCAGGAGATATCAGGGTGGTTCAAGTACTCCATGAGCACCAGGACCTGTGATCACAGGGCTTCTCTAGCCATCTAAAAAAAGGTTCCATCTACTTCCTCTACATCATCCGGCAGTCTGTAGCAGACACCCACCATGATGTCATCCACACTGATCTGACCTCTGTGCCTTACCCATAAGATCTCAACTGGCTCATTACCTGTTTCAGAGAAAAGTTCCGTGCATTTAAACTACTCCTTTGCATAAAACACAACTCCTCCTCCTTGTCTTCCCAGCTTGCACTCCTAAGAGGGCCGGTATATATCCATTCCGGCACCCTATTCATGACAACCATCCCTCTCTAATCCCAGTGAGATAACAGCTCTACAAACATGCATGGATTCCTGTTTGTTCCCTATGCTATATGCATTCACGTACAGGCATCTGAGATGGGCTCTCAGTCATATTGCTTTCACATGAAAACTGCAAGAGCCTCCTCCATTTTGCTGTGCCCTGGACACGTACTCACCCTCCTGTGACTCCACCACTCTTCTGTGTCCCCCAATGAAATCAGTTTAAAGCCCCCCTCACTAGCTTAGCAAATCTGTCGGCAGAGATACTCTTGCTCCACTTTGTCCTTCCGGCTCAGCAATGCTCATTTCTCAGAGAAAGTCAAAGAGGTTGTAAAGGCCAACGACAAAATTACAACAGCTAAAGTGACACTAGCTGCATATCTGGTGTTGGCCTCCAGGGTGCATATACTCCTCCCCAAGCCCTTCCTTTTCACTGGAAGGATTTAAGAGAGCACTACCTGGGCCCCCATGCCCTTCACCCTCTGTAAGCACTCTTGATGAACTCAAAGTCACTCCTCACAATGCCACAGGTGCCCATGTGGCTGGGCAACAAAAGGTATTAGTCTGACAGCCACATGAGCCTCAGCAGACTATCCACAATACCCTAGATCTGAGTCCTCAGGAAGTAACAAACCTCTCAAGACATCAAGCCTCCATCCCCCACAGGAGGGAGCCTCCAAGTCACTACCACCCACTTCCTCCCAGTGCAGACAAGTCTCCAACACCTCCCCTGACAGAGCTTGCTCTTCCTCATCTGTTACCATGGCACTATACCTATAAGTGCACATCTGCAGACAGAGAACGAGCCTGCCTTCTGTTGCCAGCAGAATCTTCCATTTCTCCCCACCTTAGGAGTCTCTATCCACCACTTATTCAAGCATAGCTTTTAGCTGTCCCTCCATCCATGCAACGTGTGGTTTGTGTTCTTCTACTCTCTGCCAAGACCCTGTCAATCTCCTCTTTCTGTTCCCTACAGTTATGCAGCCAGCTCATCTCCCACAGATGCTTCACCTGGCATCCCAGCATCTTGACCACAGCAGAACTCAACAGATGAGGCCATCATCAAGCTCTGCCCCAGGCTCAGGGAAAAGTCCCCAGTCACTCCCTGCAGCCTGGTATCTGCTACATCATTCCCCTGGAGCTCTGTCTGGGCCAGCCTCCCATCTGCCAGGCACAGTCGCTCCAACCAGGGCAGGAAAGCACATTTTCAGGTGCATCACTGCGCCCACTCCAGCTGCCTCAGAGCATCGGGTGCCTTCTGCACCCCCTCCCATGCTAACTGCTGCATTAACTGCAAAGTCCCCACTACCCACCCCACATCACAACAGTCTGGCAATGTTTTGAAATACTATGGCCAGGGATGCTGGATGCAATACAATAAAGAAAGGAAAAGCTTGTCATAGAGCAAAGTTATAATTTTCTAAGTCACTAAAGCTAGAAATATCTCCTCTCAAGAAAACATCAAAACCCTTTTACTGTTTGTTACAGGCAAGTCTCTTTGCTTTTTGCAAATTTGTGTTCTACCAAGTACAAGCACAGTGGCATTTATCAGCATACAAAAGGCATGTGAACTCCTACTCTTCTCCTGGATAGCACTTAAGTCTCAAAAACATACCACAGATAGTCTTATGACGTATCCCAGAAAAAGGCAGTTCTAAAATAATTATGCAGAGGATGTGTTCTCATGCAAAACAACAAATAATCATTAAAAGACCTCCTCTCTTTCAAAGCCGTTTCTTTAAATACTCATTATACAAGCAAATGAGGTAAGTGAAGAAGCTGAGAAAATTATAAGGCATTATTCCCTGCCTATAATTCTGCTTCCCTGCAGATAAAAAACACATTACTTTTTCTCTATAGCCATTGGATTTCAGCTCCTTATTTGAGTAAGGTCAGAATTTTCTCATCATAATGTTCATTTCTGACCAAAAGCTTGACACTGCTCTACTGTTTCTAACTGGATACCTCTCTAAAAGCTTTCTACTTTTTAAGCTTCTACCATTATCTACTGAAACAGAAGAGCTGAAGTTTTTTGGGCAGATGTTCAATATTACAAGTGACTTCAGAGACTGAAAAAGATCTAAATCAACACTTATCTGCTGAAGACTGTCACTTTGGCTCAGAAAAAGGACCCAGAGCCCTGTTCCCTATAAAAGTCCTCAATGGTGGCAAAGTCATTTTCAAAGTGAGACCTAATCTTCGTGACTAGATCTACTTTAACAGATTAGCAGAACTTCCCAGCTCCCGGGTCTAGGTACGGGTGCCTGCCAAATAGTAACTCCATTCAGCACTGAACTCCAGCATGTGTTGCTGTGGAAGATGAAAAAAACCCATCTTTGGCATATACTACAACGGGATCTCTGTCCATACGATCAGGAAGAGCAAGTTAAGTCTGGATACAGCTTGTCACGTTGCAGATAAAGCATTTTATTATCTCCCTGGACTGCTTCTGAATGAGTGCTTATAAAGAAGGATGTTCTTGTGGACTCCTTATTAAAATGACTCTTCCCAGTGCAGTCACACGTCCCACAGGGCCTCTTGTACAGCTCATCTAACACTTCACTGAATGCTGCTTTCTATGCAAGCGCCCTCTCCCCAGGGTCATGAACAAGTTCTGCAGTGCCCTCATACTCTTTCATCGCTAGGGAAACTACAGGTTTGCAGCCTACCAAGAAGTGGGAATGCAGGAATTATGCTGCTTTTAGAGGAAGAACATTATTTGCCTCGAGTTTTGTTTCGCCAAATGACAGAAAACAGAACATGAAGGAACCTTCGAAGGTCATCGAACTCACCCCTCTTCCCAGGCTGTCTGACTGTAGTTAGAAAAGGAGGTAGCAGAGATAATCACCAGTCTTACTTTAGCCATGGGATTGCACAGTTATAGACAGCTGGAAAGTATTTATTTCTACATAAGGACTGATCTAATTCACCTCCATTAAAGTACTGAAGTGTAATGCTGGTTGTGTCACACTAGGGAGCTGAAACCAAAGAGCAGAAATTTAGTCAATATGGTATCTCTATCCATAAGAAGTCTTCAGAATTTTTGATCCACATTAAAATCTATTACAGGAATCAAAATACTGTGTTCACGAGCCAAGTCACTCTTTAAAATGGAGATAGCTTTCCATCCAAGTATTGTGGGTTAACCTTGATAGGCAGTTTAGCCCCACACAGCCACCTGCTCCCTCCCCTCCCAGTGGCATGGGGGAGGGAATCGGAAGGGTAAAACAGACAAAGCTTGGGGGTTGAGATAAAGACAGTTTAATAAGGGAAGCAGAGATGTGTGTGCAAACATAGCAAAATAGGGAATTCATTCACTACTCCCTTGTCAGGCAGGTGTTTAGCAATCCCCAGGAAAGCAGGACTTCATCCCATCTGACAGTGATTTGGAAAGCCAAACACTACAATTGTGAGAGTGTCCCCCCTTCCTCTTCCTTCCCCCAGCTTTTATTGCTGAGCACAACATGGAGTACAGGATATCCCTTTGGTCTGCTGGGATCAGCTGTCCCAGTGTGTCCCCTCCCAACTTCTTGTGCATCCCTACCCTGCTCTCTGGTGGGGCAGGGCAAGAACCAGAAAAGGCTCTGGGAGCACTGCTCAGCAATAACTAAAACAAGGGCTTCAACACTGTTTTGGTCACAAATCCAAAACATAGCACCAGAGGAGCTGCTGTGAAGAAAATTAACTCTATCCCAGCCAAAACCAGTACCCCAAGACAGAAATCCAATGACTGCACTTCTCCGTAAGCACATCCTCCTGAATAATTAAGAAAAGCAACAGTGACAGCTACAGGGCTATACTGTACAGTGATATATGTAGAAGCAAAAAGGATCTGTAACAGAAGGGAAGCCGTAAGGAAGAGATACTATGAAAAAAGGAGATGGAAAAGTCTGTAGAGCATGGAACTAAGACCACACATGGGACTTCACAGAGCAGCCAACCTCAGCAAATCAAAAGCGTGTTATTCAGACACATAAAACCTTCAGCTCTAATGCCGTAAACTCATAAATGTTGTTGCAAGGGTGTTGCAATGCATTAATTTTTAAAAGTCTCAGCCACATAGTTAGGAATAGTAAGTAGGACATCACAAAACATATCGCAAACAAGCATTAAATAATATAGCATGCTGCTGGTGATGTTATAATCATAGAAAACAGCACTTAATGAAATTAAATCACTTCAAACCATATGGATGAAAAGCTACTAGATGTTTCCATGTCCATACAAAAATGCTATTAAAAACACAACAGCAAAATTACAAAACAGAATATATCAAGGCCTCTGAGGTCCTTAATATTAACAATCTTTCTAAGAGTAAACAAAAGACTGAAAAACAACTCACCTGATTCCCTGTTTCTGTCACTATTTCTCCTTTGGCAACCTCAGCCCGTTCCTTATTTCGGCAAACCATATGAACCGTGCCACCTGGTGGATTTTGACAAGAAACACATTTGGTAATTAATTACTAGCTGGGTTTGGGGGAGGCTTCAGCAAAAAAGGAGTGCCAGGAAGGGATGTGAAATTCATAGTCTTTGTTTGGGGATAGTTTTGGATACAATCTCATGAATGAAACAAAAACCCTTCTATGATTACATTCCAGTTCATGGGACATCTACAGCCTGCTAGTAACAGTAGCAATACTGGTCAGATGGTCACCAAAATACCACAAGAGCTTCCCAGCAGGCAGAATGTTCCTGAGCTGCCCGCAACCAACAGTCCCACTTCTCTGCTGCCAAGAGCTAAGCAGTGGCTTTTCATCAATCCTGCTGATGCTCAGGTTTGTGGACCTCTCAGGGCTCCTGTGACTCTTGCTGATGAGCTGGTTAGGGCCATGGCACCCCATAGCAGTCCCAGGTCTACCAGCTTCGGGGTCAAATTCCCCCCAATAGGCACTGACCCAGTACCATCAGGCAGACTGGACACACCAAGAATCCCAACAGGGTCTGTGAAAGGACTGAGGTACAGGTCCTTCAAACAAAAGGCTTAGGACATAAAAAGCAGATCTAGTAAGAAAGCTGGAAGATTCCTGCTTGGCTCTGGTCCCTTATGAAGGCACCCAGGAGGAAGAAAGCATCATGCTGTAATAGGGTCCTCTCCTAAGACTGGAGAACGCCTTAGAAACATCAATAATGGCTTTCAGTAACACAAGTGACTGGAATTGCTCTGTGAAAAGGAACTAAAAATGACAGATATCAGAATTCTCAGCAGTGAGAGATATGACAAAGACACACAAGCTGCACAAATTGCAGCTTGGGATGCTCAGGTCAGGCATTAGGAAAAACATTTTCACTAGTTTTCTTTTAAATAGATCAGGCTGTCCCAAGAGGCTGCATAATTGCCATCCTTGCAGGTTTCAAGATCCAGCAAGACAAAGCAATGGCCAATTTGATCTAGTGTTGGCAATGGTCTTGCTTCAAGTGGGACGCTGGACAAGATGACCTCTAGAGGTTCCTTCTAACCAACTTTCCTATAAAAAGAATACTCAGGGCAAGTCTCCTCTCAAAAGGCCTGGATACTTATCGTGACCTCATAGCTTAGCCACATCAAAGAGAGCCTTTAAAAACAGGACTAAAATACAGGTAGGTATAATTTATTTTTATGCTTTATATTTATAACATTATGTATTTGTGATCATTACATGTACTGTGTTAATCACACTCTTTTACCTATTGTTAAAAGTGTTTTAGGGGTTGCTAGCAGTCCACTACTGGAAGGCTCAAGCGATGTAATCCCAACGGTGTGGTAATAGAAACAATGGTGTTGGGTCACTCTTCTAGTGCCCAGAACCCATACACAAGACACCAAGTCTACCCTAGGGACAGAGCACTCACACACTGCACAGCCTGGTGTGGGATCTGATAATGAATTTTTCTGTCTACAAGAGATGTTTTTCCCCTAGCCACCATTACAGCAAGCATACTTGGCATGTAGCTGATACAGGCAAGAAGCCTCAAGGCTCTTCTGAAAATTTCTAATAGGGTGTGATTCTTCTACTGCACTGCCAGAGTCGGCTGGGTTACTTTTACCAAGTGCACAACCATAGTGGGAAACTCCTGAATTTAGCAGAATCATACAAATGACACTAATCAATGTTTAGTAAAAGTTTCATCTTCAGTTTGTGTTACACATATACTGAGCATGGAAGGGACTGTGCACAGATAGGCACTGAATATATACAGATCAGAACAAAAGACAGCCTTTGCCCCAGGGAAAGCAGATCTCATGACTGAGAGAGAAGATAATCAGAAGGGGCAATGTCCAATGCTCTGGGCATTCTCAAAGTGACTGCAGGCTTCACTGCAAAAGAGGGCTTTAATTACAGATCTTGAGGCAGTTAAGGAGGTGTGTTTGCAGCTGTTTAAGGAGCTCTTCCCAAAGAACAAGAGACAGCACAAGCAATGTGTGCAGGTACAAATTAAACACATGAAAGAAGTAGCTGGCCTTTGAGTTCATCAGGAACATTTTCATAGTCTATAATGGAAAACATTCAATAAAAACAGTGTTGGGTTTTAAGGGCTTTGAATATGAGGTTTTCCTTGCTGTTAAAGACAGAGGGTAGTTTTGGCATGTCCAAAGGATTTAGGAATATCCCTTTAGGAATGGGATTTAAATATATTTTCCATGGTAAGATTGAAATCATTTGAACTTAAACAGCACATGGGTATTGTCAGAACAGTTGGGAGAAGACTGCACCAAACTGGAAGTGCAGTCCACAAGACATCCAGGAAAGCCCAAATCTGCAATGCCCATAAAACATAAACTCAGAGAAAAGCTGAGCTCAGGGTAAAGAAACTGTCATCAAGACTGCCATTATTTACAAAGATCTGAAGTGCTTGAAGGTAAAGCCAACGTAGCTTAGTTATTCTTTTGCTGAGTTCAAATTCCTTATTTTCTTGTTATGATGTAATTGAAGAGATTCAACTAGAAGCCAGAGCCCCAACAACTGACACTGAGTTTCAGAGTAACACGTGCAAGGGTAAGATCAGGAAGACACTATTGAGTCATTTTAACTTCTTACATACAGCAACACCCACACAAGGTATCAGATAAGCGGTGTGAGCCCGAGGTTGATCTTTGGGCTCCACATACTAGATATGATGACCAAATTCTATGCAGATCCAGTCAGCTTGACAGCTTGTAAAACCGGGCAGACAAATCCATTTGTGAGCAAAATAGTCACCAGACAAGGCAATACTTACATAAGGCTATTATACATAATGGCAGTAGTGGGAACCTGGAATCAATCATATAATGGCATTGATGAGGATCTTTAACCTAAAGGCTCTTTGATGCTAATAATTTTGAATTGTTTTAATTTAACTGAGTCGCCACTTTCCTTCATAAGATAGTTATGAAACCTAAGCAGGCAGAGGGAGCAAAGAGCCACAAGCTCCTCCCTTTTATCCTACATGCCAAAACTCTTATCACTCTTGCACAACAGGAATTATTTCGCCAACTCTAGAAGGGATTAGGTTTATCCTTCAACAGTAGCTAGTTACAGTTCATACCATCTCCTTGCTCACAGTGAGCAGCAGAAAAAACAGTTGCATGTGATCAATTAAAGGGCACTGGTTATAATTGTTAAGACCAAGCACAACTTTTGCTTCTTTTACACTCTCCTGTTTCAGCTTAGCAAAGCCAATTGGTTTTGTTTCCATCATATGATACAGTTACAAGTTCTTCAAAAAAAGTTCGAATGCAGCCAGGCTGCTACTTGCACCAACACAGCCTTAAGCGGACCTTGATCTGTCATTAACATCCTCAGATGCCACTGTGACACAGACAGTTTTGGTAAACATGCATTTGAAAAACACTTAGCAGATCCTCTCCATTAGTTTTGTTTTGTTATTCCAGTTTTCACAGCACAGATGATGCTTAAATCCCTAACCCACACTAACAGCTCTGTAAATTAACATGCCTGACACCTTGTCCCCGGGGAGCTGCACCCTTGTGTGTCACAGAATCACAGCTGGAAGGCCAAACCATCTTCCTTCCATCCTCTCTGTATGGACCCCTCAGATCTCCTCAGGGCCTGGCTCACCTCTCCTTGCTATCTCCGTGGCCGTGGCCTTGCCAATGCCACTGTTGGCGCCGGTGACCAGAAAGGATCTTCCAGCCACGTTCACCTCTGTGTCGGCTGGATTGAAGTGCTTGGAAGCAGACTCATAGCCGCTCCTGAACAAACGAGAGACACCTGTGAGACAACTAGAAGGAAGTACTCCCGAAAACCCCAGTTAAAAAGCACTCTCCCCTCACAGCCCAGCGTACCCCCTTCTCCCCATTACTCTCCATACTCGTGGGACAGGCCACCTATAGTGCCAGTAACACTGTGAGGAGTGATGTAGCAACAACTCGAGGCGCTTGCCCCACCACACGGCCCAAACTTTGTCCCTCGGGAGGCGGCCCGGCTGCAGCCCCAGGGCGGGGCAGGCCCAGGCAGAGCCCCCGGACTGCTCCCACAGATAAAGCCTTAAAATTTGTCCGCTTTGGCGGCGGCTGCCATTAAATTTTTTTTTAAAAAGCAGCACCACCACCAAATGGTTAAACGCCCCACGGTCGCACAGAAAGGCCCCCGGCCTGGCCACAGCGCGGCGCCCGCCCCGCCCGCTGCCGGCCCGGGTCGCGCTGGCTGGGGGTGGCGGTGGCCGTACCTCGTGTACTCCCGCAGCCCCTTCACGAACCACACGGCGTTGCGGTACCAGGACATGGCGGTGCTGCCGCTGCCGCCGTCGCCACAGCCGGGCTGGCCCCGCCTCTGCCCTTACATAAGGCGCCCGGCCCGGCCCTGCCCGCCCGCCGTTAGGTAAGGGTCGAGGGGCGGCCCTGCCCGGCCCGTCGGCGCCGCCATTACTGGCCGCCCGCACGACGGGGAGAGGGGTGTGAGGGAGGATAGTGTGTCTTTGCCGGGGGGAGTTGTGTCCTTCTCCCTTAGAGAGGTTTTTGGCTTGTTTTTTCTTTATCCTTTTCATTTTCCTCGGAGAAAGAGCGCTGCTTTTAGCCACCCAGCTGGGATGTCTCCATGTGGTGGTTGCTGTGGGGGCTGCCAGAGTGGGTGCCGTGTTGCCTTGTGGAGGCTGCTGCGGGAGAAGGAGGGAAAGTTTTATGGAGTACCTACTCGGGACAAGCACTGTTCTCAACGGAGCCGGGGCTGGAAATGGGATGTTTGGTTTTGGGAATTTTGGTCCTACATGAATTTTGGGCCTGCATCCTCTGCCCTGGAAAGCTGTCAAAGGGATGCTCTCGCAGGAACATAACCAAGGGCGTTGTGCCATGCCAAGTAGTGTTTTGTGTAACAAATAAACCCGTGAAATTCCCAGCTCCTACTAATGGGGTAAAGTATACCAGTAGGAAAGGGTGGCCAAGTGGCAGTAGGGGGGATGAAATTTTAAAATGTCATTTGGGTACTTGTATTGGGCCTGTGAAGCACAAGAGAATCAATTGGGAGTTGCACATCTGGACAGCCCATGTTAGCCATAAGGTAGTTGTTATTATAGGTATAATTACATTTTAAAGCACACTAAAGAACTACACGCTTACAAAGTTTGGTCTGCCAGCTAGATGAATTCATGTATTTTATGCAGTATGCAGGGCCGCATGCAGAGAAGCTACTCTGGGAACACTATCTAAGAACTTAAGAACCCTATCAAGAACTTAAGTTACCTGGTTTCAATAGCAGAGATAGGGGAGGAATGGGAATATTCTGTCTTTTTTTGACCCTGTATGGTAGCCTGATAATTCTTTTTCTAAATCTCTTCACTCTGGCAAAGGCCTCATACTCAAGTCTTCCACTTTCTCAGCATGTTGTATAAGTATTAGGCTCTCACACAAAAGGTATTTCCCACCATGAAGTGAAAACTTTTGAACTCAGCACTGTCTGCTTGTACTAGGTATTGTGTGTGAAATAAGAATTTATAGAAGGCAAAAAGACACGCTTTCACAGTGATATTTTCTTCCCCACAGAGACCATGCCGCTGAATGTCATACCTTTGCACCAAATCTGAAAATGCTTGTCCTTATTAAAGCAGTTGAAAGAATCTATTTAAAACCAGCAGCCTGAGTCAGTTTTAACTGATTTTGTTCTTGGACATGGCTAGGAGGTTTTGACTGAAGTGTTCCTAAACAATTCATCCTGATTCTGATGCTCAAAATGGAGACTTCTGGCCCAGAAAGGAACAGCTTGGCAATAGTCTGAGTGGCAGAATGTTATTTCCTACAATGGAAAATGAATGGTAGCCTGAACTACAGATACATACTGTGATGTCTGTAAGTATATAATTGTGAGCTATATGGAAATAGTTTTGTGATCATCACCTACAACATGCAATTAGCAACCAAAACCGTACAGCCTAGACTGTTATAATGATGTTAGATAATCACACTCGCTGTGAACAGAGCAGATGTTAGGCTTGTGCGAGTCCTGTGTACAGACTGAGATAATGTCACCTCTTCCTACTTTCAGTCCCTTGCCCTGCTAGCCCTTGAGCTTCTCCCTCTCCCTCACAGCCTGTACGAGTCTGCCTGGTTACTTTCCTTGAACCCTCGCTCAGGGAAACGGGAAAACCAGAGAATTATATGGTCATGCCTGCTATTACGAATATCCAGGCAGAAAACTGCAGCGCCGCCCCGTGTTTTTATGCTAGTTAGAGAATGTCTCACCTTAGGCTTTGTAACCCTCAATGCATCTCAGTGTGCTCTGAGGAGAAGAATAATGTTCCGCTGTTGCTTATGCTATGGAACTGGCTGCGTTCTTTACAGGAAATACGGTTTCAGCTTGAAAAACATTAGCAAACTCCAAACAAAACAAAAACCCTGTGGAAGTTCCTGTAAGTAAATGTAATAAGGCAGGTTGTGCTTTATTCCCTTGTCATTTCTCTGTTTACCCTGTTTATTTCTTAAGCACTGAGACTATGCCTTAGCATAAGCAAAAATTGGTTGATGGCTCTGATGTGTTTTCTTTGTAGTTTCAGTCTATGTTCTTATAAACTAGGGGGTACATCCCTGCAGTCTGCTGACCTCTGAAAGTAAATGGTGTGTATACAGATACACAAAATTCCTTGCAGGCTAAACCATTTGGACTGTAATCAGCAAGATGCTGGATGGTGCAGCCCCGAGGTACTAACCGATGTGAGTATGCATGGCAGAAGCTGTCCGTGAGTTAAACACAAAAATATATTACAGCAGCCAGACAATGGGAACAGCTCATAGTATTTTGGGATTTAAGCGGTGATGGGCAATTACAGCATGTTACTGTTATTAACATCAGAAAAGATAAGATTGTTAGAAAGACATTTGAATGTAGGGTTGGGAACCAGTGTCACCCTGGTGCACACACAAAATTATCTGAGGATATTATATAAATACTGTAGCACCACTACTGTGGTGTTAGCCTTACCCTTCTAACAAATGCCATTTTTCAGGAGATTTTGTAAACGTTGAGAAGTTATGCTGTTGCCAGAGTGCAACAATCCCTGAGCGCACTCAGCTGGGAGATTTCTGCTTAGAAACACTTTATTTTTCCGGAGTGAGGCCCTAAGCTTGCACCTAGAAAGGAATCATCGCAGCACGGTGTTGACACATCCATGCATAAATATTTCAGCCATGAAATCTCTCTCTCTCTGTCTGAGCAGCTTCACATCAGGAGCGAGCTGTTGCACACTGGCCTAACACCTAGATGTTTCTGCTACCTCATTTCACCCCCTGTGATTTTTTGCTTTTGTATTGTTGTTCCAGTGGCAGGAGACTGTAGAGACCGTAGAGTGCTCTCTGCTAACCCAGCCATCACAGAGATAACGCAGTATGGGTTGCGTGCAGGAGAAGAGTAAAACACAGTTTGGCCAAGAGTTGGCTGGTGCTAATGAAGGACCTGTCTCGCAGTGCTCTCATGGGCAAAATTTCTGCCCACATCAAGAGATTTGGCTGCATGTTGCCTTTTGTGCTGAATTCTGGGTTGATACACCTTGTTAGCTGAATTAGAATCCATTCTGTAGATTGGAGATTTGGAAAGTTACAGCTTTTGGTTTCTTTCATGATTGCTACTAGCTTAGCATTAAACTCCGATAGGACACTGCTCTGAATGTGAGGGATTTTTTAGATAAGGAGTTCTTCTCATGGATTGGCAGCCAATATCTCAGATAGTTGTCACAGCCAGCAACTGATATATACATGTAGCCTGGCTCTGCCACTGGAAGGTGGGAGAAATCAAGAGAGCCACAAGTCTATTGAGCTCCTAAAATTTCCCTCCGTTGAGCACAGAGCAAAATGGATTCACCCTGTCAGTGTTTAGTCCTGATGTAACATACCCAAGTCAAGTGTTCCCCTCAGGGACTATAACGCTCAGGTATATCTACACTATCAGATAACTCATAGCAGATTCTCAGGTCCTGATCCTCTTATTGCCCAAACTAGCTAACCCTTTGTTGATGCCCAGACTCTCTTTAGGTATTAAACAGCTGCTTCTGTCCAAAACAAGCTCAAACGTCGTCAGGGGGATGGTTTGCTCAAGGGAAAATTTGTTCCCAAGCATTATGGATGAAACTGCACCAGGGTTAACACTGCACAGCTCAGCTTGGTGCTGGTGATCCTGCTTTCGGGCAGATGCATTTACCAGTGTAGAAATAGCCCCTGGGTCTTGTTATGTAGGACCTCCATGAATGCAGATAATCCTCAAAGCAAATAAAAATTCTGGAGTGTTGTGAGTGTGAGCCTCTAGATATTAGGATTTTTCATATAGTAATGAATTGAGAATCTGAGTATTTTATTAAAACACCGGAGCTGGTGAGAAGTGCCTCTCTGGCCCCCAGCTGGACTAATACGAAAAACACACTTTAGACTTGATCCATCTTTGTACCCGTCAAAGAGCAAGGAGTTTTAAGCAAAGTTTTAATTGCCTCCCAACACAAAAGAAAAGTTGAAAATACTGATTGCTGTTAAGGGCTGTATGTTTCAGCAGCATGTTTCATATTTTCTTCCCAGGGGACAGATCTAAAAGGTAGATAGAGCTCTCAAGAGCTGAAAAGCAATTATTGTACCTGTCAAAGAGCAAGGAGTTTTAAGCAAAGTTTTAATTGCCTCCCAACACAAAAGAAAAGTTGAAAATACTGATTGCTGTTAAGGGCTGTATGTTTCAGCAGCATGTTTCATATTTTCTTCCCAGGGGACAGATCTAAAAGGTAGATAGAGCTCTCAAGAGCTGAAAAGCAATTATATATTATACAAGATGTTTAAGAGCAGCTTCAAGGCCATCTTGCCAATCTCTTTTATTATCTTTTTTTTTTTCTTTTTTTGAGAGAGAGAGGCTAAAATCTGTCTTAAGGAGAACTGGCTCCATTGCTTGCTTCCTACCGGAGATCTGGCAGGCTGTTGTGCATTCTCTTCTTTCCTTGCAGTTACCAATTTTCTAATTAAGTCTGTATGCCTGCCCCCATTAAATCAATCAGAACGTCGCCGCTGATTGCAGCGGGAACAGGAGCAGGCTTTAAGGGCCAGATTTGCAGGAAAGCTCGGCATCTGTAGTTTGGACCAGGTTTTCAAAGGAAGTGGCAACCATGTGCAAGCCACTGTCGCTGTCTTGCTCCCAACTCCCCACCCTGCGTTTGCCACGCTGGCCTCAGATCTGGGTGCAGAACACTTGAAAACTCCAGCTTTAGAAACTAGCGCTGCCCCAGTGAGTGTGCCCCAGTGAGTGTAATAGCAATTAAGAGCTGTCAGCAGCCTGGGGAGAGGCAGTCGGTGCTCTTCCTTTTGCCTGGCTGAAACAGGGGGTTTGGCGAGCGGTCGAAGAGGAACATCCAGGCCCTGAGGTCTCGGGCACATGTCTGAAGAATTTGTGCTATTAGCAGGGGGAGAGAAGCAAAAGCTGCCCGTCCCGCACACAGGGAGGGGTCGAAGTTCTGGCATGTGTGGTGTTTTGATGAACAGCGGGGTATTTTCTTTGTTGTGTGCTCTTATACCCAAGTCATCGCCAAGTTTGCCAGCTGCTGTCATCAGCAGTGGTGTTTCCAATGAACAGTCAAGCTTTCCCCAGACCAAATAGCCTTTTGTTCTCGAGAAACAAATGTGGCAGTATGTCATCAGCTCAGTTCAATCACTTCTTTTTACTCGGGGGCCCATAAAAGGAATCTTTTACTTTGCCTTATCAGAAGTGTAGGTTTGCTCCATCAGCTCCTGAGGGCCCTGGTCTCCAAGAGCCTGCAGGGCCTCCCAGGGATAGGCATGTCCTGGCAGGGAAAGGGACTCCTGAGAGTGCTCCCAAAGTGAAAAGAATTGACTGGGAGCAGCAGGTCAACCTGCTGCTAACCTAATTAATCTCCTATGCATCAAATAGTTTATGCATGCTTCAGTTTATAACTGTTTTAAACATAATAGGAGCTTCATAGTTCATTTTCATCTTGGAAAGTAAATCTTTAGGTAAATAAAAAATCAATTTTATGATTCCCATGACTGAAAAGTTATCTTTATTCCCTTACAGTAGGCAACATAGTTGAATGCACACGTTTGTTGCTACGCTCTGACAGTAATGTAGTTATCTGTACTAGTATTTTCTTCAGCTACATGTTTTTCTTCTTTCTGCTCTTCTACTGGTTCTTACTGTTTTTACTACCAGTTGTTGGACATGGATGCTTATGGGCTTATTGACCATTCTTTTATTTTTCTTGTAAAAATCTTTCAGCTTATTAACATTTATTATTTTAGGATGGTTGTTACCGAATTGCAGGTACTATCTAGTAACATGTATCCACCAAGAATATCTACACACATCTCAGCCTATGTGGTTGCTGTATGTTATGCTCAAAAGCAAATGGAATGGACTGAAGTTTTGTGTCTGCAAGCAGTCCACATGCTGTGGTAACAGAACCCACAGAAGTGTAAAATTTATCCATGTAAAGCTATGGAGTCAAACCCTCTCCTGCAAATAACCACCTGACCTGCTAGTTAAAAGTCTTATTTCACCTGTTATTGGAGAAATTTTTTTAGAAGTCCATTAAAAATAATGAAGCAACTTTTCTTCTGAGATATTCTGAAAATAAATACCATTTGTGAACTAGTAATATGAAATCCATGCAGAAGTAGAATAGCAGTACAAAAAGAAAACAATAAACAATGATTATAAAAAGGTGCTGTCTATAGCAACTTGTGAATAAGTGTGCATAGTGGATTTTTTTCTCCGCTGTTTGCAGCCTGTGTACTCATTTCATATTGATACTGAAAGCTAAATATTTTCTTCCGAAGGACTAAGAATAATGAAATCCGTAAGGTATGCAGGTACCTATCTCATGTGCATATCATGAGGATTTTGTTAAAAAAAGCTTTCCTGTACGTTGGCCTACAGGCCCACAGTTGGCATCTCAGAGCACCTCTCACATTTCAGCTCTGTACTGCAGCACGGAGAAAGGTATCACAGATTCCCCCTTTGCTTGAGTAGTAGTGATCAGACAGAAGAGTCAGTGTGGCTTAGATTCAAATCTGTGGGCGAAATCAGTCTCTGATATAGCTATTCATCTCAGTGAAATTGCGGCAGGGTTGATTATAATTAGCATGACTGGTAAATGTAAAGTACCTTTAATTTTTAAACTCTAATCACATAGGTTCATGCACTTACACTGGTCAACATCTTCCTCACTGCGTTTTTATTCAAGTGAGACATTTGGTATAAAAACACTGTTACAAACATGTATATGTGATTTCTCAGAACTTCATACAATTTTCTCAGAAACCTCCTCTTGCAATATAACATTGTCCTTGTTAGTAGCTTTCTTGTACATTGTTCTCTTGTATTATGCAACATTAGATGGCAGTTGTCAGCCTTTTTTATTTTCCCTCAAATATTATACTTTCTAAAAATGTTTTCTTTTTCCTCTTCTGGCTAGCATCTGTGGGACTTCCATGTACTCAAGCAATGAACAGGAACCTCAAGAAGCATAAGCCAAGAAGCAACAATTTCAAATTGCAGTCCTGAAGTAACAATCTTTTCTATATTATATGGAGAACATACATTGGTCTTCATTGTTATGCAAAGTCCCTATCAACCAGAATCTGGGGAAGATGAATAATCAGAGGTAAGAGAAACTCATCTGGTTTAGAATGTTGTACAATGTATAGGAGTTATCACCGGTTTAATCTTCATAGCCCCTTGCCTGTGAAGTTAAAGCATTTAGGCTCATTTACACCAACTGTTCACATTTCAGTGTCTGAGTCATGCAAAACAGCTCTTGACATAACCTAGAATAGCTTCTGCATCTTTATTTTTTTCTGCACAGTCACCTTGTAGTTTTAAAGTGTGATTTCTTGGGACCTCATAATGCTCAGAGCGAGTGCTGTGCGAGAGAAATCTACATCTTTCTCCAGCAGCACAACGTTCCTGTTTCTGCTCCTGAGGAGATGAGGTCTGTGATGTGTCTGATGCTTATCTTTCTTCTCTGGGTCAGGAGGTAGGAGCTGTCTGTGTTCAACATTTGGAATGAAGGAACAAAGCATTTGCCTGTCTGGCTGCAGCTTTTAAAATAGCTGTGGGAAGCTGCTCCCTGGAGCTTTGGAATACTGTGCCCTTTGCTAAAGAAGGTGGAGTAGTGGGAGGAGAAATATGCTGTGGGCAATGAAGTGAGATTTATTTCATGGCTGCTACCATTGCATTTATGATTTGTATGTGTCTAGAGTCTGTGTCTTTGTATTACTAGATTTGCGTAGTACCCACGACTAGCAGTGAGCAGGCTATCTAATCCATTGAAATCATGTCCCTTTTTCCCTTTAAAAGCTAGAAATAGACCTTTGTTTCCCAAGATGGGGAGGTGATTTAACTGGAACAGTTACAGCTGGTTTCCTGCAGTGTAATCAACAAATTTCTGAGTTCATAATGATTAGCTTAAGGGTGTATTTTTTTCCATTTCCAGAAGACATACTACTGTGAAAAAAAAAAAAAAAGAAAGGACATTTTCAATTCTCCGGAGACTGAGCATATGTCTGGGACATCCTCAGTTTGTGGCAATTTAAAATGTTGCTGGTTGCAAGCTGAGGTGCTGTGGAGCATGGACATGTTCCCAGCTTACCCCAAAGTGAGATAAAGTACCTTCAATTAAACCTCTTTCATTTGGGCTGAAACTGAGTGCTTTGTTTAGCCACTGGAGCAACCCAAGAGAAACTGTACAGCTGATGGCAGGTCAGGAGAAGAGTGGTAAACAAGTCAGTTAACAAGTAATTCCGTTGTATTTAATCATATACCCCAAACCAGGTGCCCCTGCTCCACACCTGCATGATTCCAGCCTGCTGAAGGAGGCAGTAGTGAAAGTGTGGAAGGTCTGCTCAGATCTCTCTGGATACACAATTGATGGCTCCAACAATTTTGGAGGTGTTGATGTTCACGCTTCCATGTGCCATAGCTTATGGATGTACACAAGTACAGGTAAATACTATCAATTCAGAATTTTCTTCTCCCAGTCCTACCAAAGCTTGTTGTTTACTCTGTACGACTTCAAAGTATTTCACAAGTGCCTTTTGCTTCGCTAATACCTCCTCTATCATTTTATGTCTTTGCCAGCATGGTACTGAAACACTAGCACTGTGATTTGGCAGCGCTTTCCCAAGATGTCAATGAAGGCACCGGGTTCTCATCCCTAAAGAATTAAGCCTCCAAGGTGGACTGCAGAGAATCAGTCAGCCTTAGCCTCCTGGGAATGGGACATAGGCCTCAGGCTTACCATTGTGTGGCTGAAGTTTGATAAATCCTTGCACATCTGCTGAGCTGCTGTAACTGTGCTCACACATACACACAGAAAACACGAGGCAATGTGACTTCACTTACAGCTCTTCTCCTCCGGGCTGAGCTAAAATCACCCCGTATTTGCTCAGATAGGAGCGCACACTTCATCACTTGCTGCAAGGTCACTGGACGCACAGCAACATGGGACTCAATTCAGACTTAAAATTCAGAGTATGAGCCCTTAATTCTATGTCATCAAGAATGATTCTAGCAGCATTTTGGAAGAAGAGGGAAGTTTGTACTGGAATTCTATGGGTGAAATGTGTGTAGCTACTTTCTTGTTAAATCTCTTTTGCATTATCAACTGAGTATAATTTTCTTTTTTTTTAAATGCCTGTTCCAAGCTTTTGGGTAAAATTTGTGTGTAATGATAAACAGCTGCTTTGGTGCATTTGAGTGATGGATGGCGTTATGCCTGCTGATAGGCAATTTCTTAAACACTTTGGCATCTTAATGAATGAAAGATGCTCTCCACTGAAGGTAAAATCACTTAGACCAGTTCAGAAGTGAACACTGAAATCCAGGAGCCCAGGTGCTGAGACAGTGAAGTGTTTGGGGTGGAAAGGAGGAATTCTACTGTTCCACCATTGGCAGCAGTGATGTTTCAGAAATAGTAGTACCTTTAGAGAGGCAGTGGAGAGCATGGGGTGGAGCAGGTCCACAGCCTGTGATTTCTCCCAGACACAATCTGAGGCCCAAAAATAAAAGGAAATATTTCCATTGGTCATAGCTCACTACATGCAGCCGTGCATGGCCTAAGTCACCCAGCAGTGTTAGTAATTCCCATTCCATGGATTTTTGAGCAGGGATAACCTGACTGTGACTTCTCCTGAGTGGTTGCTGCAGAGCAGGGGAACTCTACACTGATGCTGCCATCTTGTGAGATTATTTCTCCCTTTATCCTCCCTTCTTTCTAGAATTAGTTTTCTGGAAATGAACAATTCTTAAAGCCGGGGCCTGAATTAAAATCCTTCTGGACCAAATGTACCCTTAGTTTTCTATACAACAGCCCTGGACATAAATGTTCGTGGTCGAAAACAGATGTTTCCCACAGATGTTACGCTGTGTTTAGCCTCAGTCCTAGGAAGGATGGTTGAGCAGAGCTTGTTCAGTTGTGGTATATTATTGAGGTTCTTTTTCAGATCTCACTCTTCCACAGGTGTAGTGTAAGTCTTGTAGGTTTCTCTAAAATGTAGGTTTCAGCTGTGTGGGTTTTAACAGAAAAAATACCCCAAATGCACATCTTCTTGCTGTGCCTGGGGCCACCCTCATGCTTTAAGAGAGGGGAGCCCTTCCATTTTGGCCATATTAACAGAAGTCCATAAAAGCAAAAGCAGAAAGAGCACTTTTACACTGCATTCATCAACACTTAAAAAAACAATCTACCAGGACCAGTTATGCACTTGTTCCATTACATGTCACAAAACAATTGTCTCTGTGCATGCTGGTGCTTTTAAAGCTGACACTGCTGTTGGCTTAAAAGCTGATTGCATTACATCTGTCCATTAAGTATAGATGTCAATATGTACAGCACCAAGGTGAACAAATCAAATGTATACTCACACCACAACCAGAGCTGCTGTAGTGAATGCATCTGCCTGAAATTCTCACATCCCTGCCTTGTTATCATTTTATATTTAAAATACCAACATAACATCATCAGGTTTTCTATAAACTCGATCACAATCATTGATTAACCATCTCTGTGTTGGTGTGGTACTGACAAATTACTGCCATACAAAAAGTGGGAGGAGTCTCCCCAGGTTGGGGGATGCTGAGCCCTGATTAAAGCACTGCTCTGATACTCAGTAGCTCAGTTCCTCGTTCTGCCAAAGACTTGCAAAGTGGCCATGGCTCAGCTGGATGTGTTGGATATGTGTGGATATATACAGACAGACTGTTTTAGCACCAAAATTGGATATAGATGCTTTCTAATCCAAGTTCAGAAGAGACCTGGGGGCCATATTCAGGCTGCCTTTCACACATGCTCGTATTGCTATCACAGCTACTTACTGAGTGCTCCAACAGTGGCCTGAATAGCTCCCTAGTGAGCATCTAAGTTACTGTCAAAGTCCACACGCCATGCAAAGTGGTCCCAGTACAGCCCTTTATCTCTTTGTCTCAGCTCCCTGCTCTGTCATGCAGGGACAGTAACGAACCTCAGCAAGGCTACGGAGATGTTCAGGTCCCAGTGAAGAGGACGACATGGATACTTTGTTAGGTGAAGATGTACTGTGTTGAAAAAACATTAGGGGACCTGGTTTTAGAAGAATTTGCCACCTGTAAGAGTTTACTCCAGACAGAATACGCAAGAGTTAAAAAAGGGATGTAGAAGTTAGCAGGAGTGCACCCTGGCATCTGTAGCAGCAATTTTACACGGACTACGCTGTATTCCAGCTTAGCTATTTCCAGATGGCACTGTATTTTACAATTTCCTCTTGCAGTTGACTGCTATCATACATATATATAGTACAACAAAGATGTACACAAGAGTGAATTATTGCCTGTCCTTTGTTGTACACTCTTTCCCAAACATCTGGGGCTTTATTTATGTGGCATTTAGTCTTCCTCAGAGGAGTATCTTTGCCTGGAAAAACAATATATGCAGCAGCTACAAAAGATAAGGAGAAAGAGAACAGTATGGCTAATAATGAGAACACCGACAGCAAAAATGTACAGGGTTTTGTCACAGTAATCCTGAGGTTGATGGAAAGGTGGGATGAAATTTGGCAGGTACACAGAAAAAACCCAGTAGTTCCCAAGAATGAACCAGAGAAAGAGGAAAAGGCTGAGGGTTAGATGGATGTAGTACTTGTGAGCGTTCTGCCTCCAGGGATATTCATCGTCGTCATCATCATCAATCACAACAGACTTGGAAAGCAGCTGCCTCATCCTGGTTGAGTCGTACAGCAGGAGAGTCACCTGGAGGCGTTGGGGGAGAAAAGGGAGTAAGTAAACTCGTTGCAGAAAATCTGGACACCTTCTGGCCACTGCCAGCCTTTGGGCCAAATTAAAGTTGGGTGTGTCAAAATCATGTAAAAGAAAGCTGAGGAGCCACAAATGAGGCAGGTCCTGCTGGAAAAGAACGCATTATTTTTTTTCCCTACAGTTTATTCACCAGGGAGATTTAGGCCAGACATTGGAAAAAACTTGCCAATGGTAAGGATGGAAAGGCATGAGAACAGATTGTGTAGGGAGATGGCAGCAGCTCCCACGCTGGAGACTTTTAAGAACAGATTAGAGTAACTGCTAAATGACTTGAGTAGTTCCTGCCTTATAGTGGGTGGATTTGTCTCTCCTAACTCTATTTTCCATGGCTATATAGGTGAATCAGCTTAAATAAAATTTGAAGCATCTAGACTTTGACCTAAACCCCAAATAAACTGCTTCAGATACTTGGAATGATTCTGTCAAATTTTCTTCAATTAAGCATCATTTTCTCAGATTGCTCCATTCCTGCCTTCAGTCAGCACTAGTAGAGAAATAGATGGAATATCATAATATCATGAGGTTAGGAAGGTCTGGTCTGCAGGGAAATGCAGTAGGACTCGTCAGCAGTGCTTAGAAGATTTCTAGTTTAGTCTTGGCAATGCAAAGTATGTAGGTAGGTTGACTGCAGTGTAGAGAAGCTTTTAAATTTCTGTCCCCTAAGTGATTTTCTTCATTTTGGTAGATTCGTAGGAGAGGTATATACAGGGCCCAACAAGGATTTGGGCCAAGCGTTGTGAAACCTGGGTTATCTTGCTGCATCTGAAACAGTTGCCCCAGTCCACAAGGCAGATCTGGGCCAGAATGACTTGCCATTAAATGATGTCCATCACAGGACAGCGTTCATTCAGACTTCATCCTGTACCCATTCTCTGACCTTCTAACTCTCAGAGGTCAAGCAAATGTAGTGCTCAGTGAAGTCCGTGCAGTCTGATGAACATAAGAGAGGGCAGAGTTGATTACAGGCGGAATTTGGCTACAGATTAAGCACTGTGAGGTGACACGTGACTTAGGCCAATCAAATTCTGGCCAAATGTATTACCAGACTGCAAGGCAGGCAGTCCTGCCATCAACTGAAGCCAAATTATTTGACGTCAGTAGGAATATCAACTGACCCGCTTACCATCTTAATTAGGGAGAGAAAAACTGACTTTAAACCAGAAATAGCTAAGAAATGGCCAACATTTTTGTGAAGGCCTCAATTCATCAGCATGAGAATTTCCTTTCAATTCTGCTCTATTCTTTTCTAAACTATTATTAAATGAAGCTTTGATTATACAGATAAGCCCACTGGTGTGACCGAATGACTAAGCATTTGCCAGTAGAGCTCACAGCATAGCAAATTCCTTATAACAAGATTAAGCACTTTCTTTTTTTCTCCATTTACTTATTTACTGACCCAAGGTCCTCGAGGGGGTGATGCATATCCCAGTGATGTACTGGTGTTTGGTTACCTCTGTGACAGAGCGCAGGGGATGCAGAGGAATATTCTTTCCCTTTTTTATCAATTCTGGCACAGAAAAGGGGCTCCAAATTTTATCCAAGGGGAATGTAGGTATCTCCTGCCTGTAGCGCCTGCTGGCTGCAATATGCCGTGCTGTCAAGTCAGAGACTAGCAGGTTCCCTTTCAAGGGAGAGGCTTGTCCCTTGAAACATCAGGCCACAGCCCATCAGGTCTATCCCAACCAGAGGAAATGGTCTAAAGTTGCAGCAGGGGAGGTTTAGATTAGATATTAGGAAGAATTACATTACTGAGAGAGTGGTCAGGCACTGGAACAGCCTGCCCAGGGAGGTGGTGGAGTCACCATCCCTGGAGGTATTTAAGAAATGTGTAGACATGGCACTTCAGGGCATGCTGTAATGCCCAAGATTGTTGGGTTTTGTCTGTCTGTGGGTGGGTGTGGTGTGTGTGTGTGTGTGTTGATTTGGATTGGTTGGTTGTGGTTTGGTTTTTGGGTTTTGGTTTTTTGTTTGGTTTTTTGTTGGTCGTTTTTTTTTTTTTTTTGGTTGGGCTTATGGTTTGGTTTTGGGGGTTTTTTTTGGTTTTTTTTTTTGTTGGTTGGTGTTTTGTTTTTTTTGTGGTTGGACTCGATGATCTCAAAGGTCCCTTCCAACCATGAATATTCTGTGATTCTCTGATTCTGTCTGCTCAGCTGGTGCCAGGCTCCTGGGAAGGTAGGAGTGCTGGGTTGTTTCTGCCACCATTTGCTATGCAGGACAGCCCATGCTACCAGTACAGATGTTCCCTCCAGAAGCTGTTCTTAGCTCTTCAGGCTGTTCCAAAGCTTTTCCTTCAGGTCTGCCCCCGTTCCTTCCTTTGGCAGGAACGTCATTGGGACAGCAAAAACCAGTTTTGCTGAATCTTACTGAGAAGCCTTAGAGTAGCTCTGCAGTTTGTTGTGAGAAGCCTCTTCGTGCCCACTAGTAACCAGTTAACACCATCTGCAAAGGGGCTGTCAGAACAGGGCAATCCTTTACCCTACAGTCAACACAGAGTTATGGCTTTATAGTGATCAGGGAGTAGCATGGACATGGGGGTGCCTACTTGTCAAGCAGCCAGGCTCTGGCTCAGGGAAGGTGTAAGTGAGCATAGTCCACTGGAAGACAGGTAGCTGTGGTTAGAAAATGCTGTGCTAGATTAATAAACCCTGCTGTGATGCAAGGGTATATTTACTCTGGAAGGAAGCCATGCTGCTGCATAGTCATTGCTCCTGGCCAAGTCAGAGTGGGAATAAATGGAAATTGTGAAGGGCTACGTACGAACACCTGTAGCTTTATGGTATTCCTAAATCTAGGAGAGAAACTTCACATTTTGTCCAGCCTGTGTGTCTGAAAATGAAGGAGAAAGAACTGGCAGGCTTGGAGGACTGTGGAAGTAAGACCCCATTTACCACATGCATCCATATTATACAGTCATTTCCCTCAGTAGGGATGGTTGCACAGATGCTGTGATGTAGGAGAAAGTCACACCACAATGTGTGGGACAATGCTGGAGGCTGAACTCATTAGTGTCTCACTTGACTGACGGGTGCTTTAGGTGCTGGAACAAGCACAGTTCAATCCCCATAGCTGTCTGCAGTACCGCATGCACATAGCTGTCTGGAGCCATCATTATGTCTTAACTAGCAAGTCAAAGTCTAAGCACACAAAATATTTCTCGCACACAGAAGGCACATTACCTTTAAGCTGCCAATCACGCCACCCACCAGCAGATATAATGGAATTAGTGGCTGAACTGGGCAATCTTCCAAAAACTTCATTCCTGAACAGCAAAAAATAATGTTTGTTATCTCAAGTGATCAAATAGTGCAGCACACTGTACAGTGAAAACTAAAGATACTCTAAGTGAAGTGTTGTGCTTAGACCCAAGACTTGTATCCAGCATCTACTGAAACAGGGGCTGAATTAAAGGGGGTTTGCATCCCCCACTTCAGGAGTGAGGGCTGTGAACAAGCAAAAGGCAGGAGGAGGAAGAGGGAGAGCAAAGGTAACAGCAGCATCATGGTTGATCTGGCATTACTGATTGGAGCCACGTACACAGGTCATTAGCTTCAGCCACTGCATCTTTGTTAAATGAATGACTGAAGGAGCTGGACAGGACATTTTCATCAGCAGTAGAAAATTCATTGAAAGTTTGGGACCCAGCACCCGTGGCAGCACCGGAACCATTTTAGCTTCCCAGGCAGCTGATAGGGAACCACAGAAGCTCAAGTTTCCAGGCTGTTTGGGTTGCTGGAGGCTAAAAGCATTGGTTGTTACGGAGCCGAGGATCCTGGCAACCCTCAAAAATCTACTGCTAGAAAGAGAAAGCTGGGTAGGTTTTAGGGAAGGGAGTGTATGGCAGTATAAGGATGTTGCTGGCAGTAGGCACTGCAGCTTGTGATACAGGTCTGAGACAGAGAGACTCATCTGTCCAAATATAGATGTCTGCAATGCAGGCATCCATATCTGAACTAGTTTCCTAGGCTCTCTTTATAGTCAATAGTGAGAAATAGACACTTGTAAAATTCAATTCATCTCATCCTAAGACAGACATTTAAAATAGGTCAGATGAGTTGGGCCCTGAGAGTGCGTCTTCCTCTCCGTGGCTATACAAGGAATCTAGACAGCCAGCTATAGATATCTAAAGTTAGCTGAGATGAGTCTCCTGCCCAAGTTTCTTACCCAGTGGCATCTTTAGCCAATTTTAAACTGTTCATTACACTATAATTTTATTGTTATTGATTCCATGTTTCAGGACTTCTACTCATCAGTCGCAGGGGACAGAAAGGCTTTTCTATTTTCTTCTCGTTGTGTAAGTCATTTTCAAGGATAAATTTTTCTCTGAATAACTGGGGTTATCTAGATGCAGGATGCTGAAAGTAATGTGGGGGTCTTCGTGCTAAACATTGTCTTGGTGCTAAACATTACCTTAGTGCTAAACGTGGTCTTGCCTGCATGTTCAGAACTATACTGAACAGGAGGAATCCGGAAAGAAATACTAGTGGTTTGGGTTTGGGGGTTTTTTTTTTTGCCTTTTTCTGTACCTGTAATCCTCTTCAGCTTATCAATTTGCTTGCCAAATCCCCTGCTATTGCTGGTCCAGAACATTGCTGATGTCCTGAATCTCTCCTGTGCTCTTTGCATAGCATAATGCAGGTGTTCTGGATTGTGGATGCTTGCTATAGGTCTTACTTTAGTCACAGGATACGAGGCGGTGTCTTGTGATCTGCTGAGAGTAAGGACTGTGGAGTCCAGAGGACTCTTCTACACTAAGTATTTATTACCAGCCTTCTCATAATTGGAAAGGGGTGGACTTAGACTGATTGGGACTCTCTCCCTTTTTGTCCCCTATTGCGAGGCTATAATTTTTTGTCCCTTTTGCCACTATGTAACACTGAGAGTTTTCTCAGATTGCTCCATTCCTGCCTTCAGTCAGCACTAGTAGAGAAATAGATGGAATATCATAATATCATGAGGTTAGGAAGGTCTGGTCTGCAGGGAAATGCAGTAGGACTCGTCAGCAGTGCTTAGAAGATTTCTAGTTTAGTCTTGGCAATGCAAAGTATGTAGGTAGGATGACTGCAGTGTAGAGAAGCTTTTAAATTTCTGTCCCCTAAGTGATTTTCTTCATTTTGGTAGATTCGTAGGAGAGGTATATACAGGGCCCAACAAGGATTTGGGCCAAGCGTTGTGAAACCTGGGTTATCTTGCTGCATCTGAAACAGTTGCCCCAGTCCACAAGGCAGATCTGGGCCAGAATGACTTGCCATTAAATGATGTCCATCACAGGACAGCGTTCATTCAGACTTCATCCTGTACCCATTCTCTGACCTTCTAACTCTCAGAGGTCAAGCAAATGTAGTGCTCAGTGAAGTCCGTGCAGTCTGATGAACATAAGAGAGGGCAGAGTTGATTACAGGCGGAATTTGGCTACAGATTAAGCACTGTGAGGTGACACGTGACTTAGGCCAATCAAATTCTGGCCAAATGTATTACCAGACTGCAAGGCAGGCAGTCCTGCCATCAACTGAAGCCAAATTATTTGACGTCAGTAGGAATATCAACTGACCCGCTTACCATCTTAATTAGGGAGAGAAAAACTGACTTTAAACCAGAAATAGCTAAGAAATGGCCAACATTTTTGTGAAGGCCTCAATTCATCAGCATGAGAATTTCCTTTCAATTCTGCTCTATTCTTTTCTAAACTATTATTAAATGAAGCTTTGATTATACAGATAAGCCCACTGGTGTGACCGAATGACTAAGCATTTGCCAGTAGAGCTCACAGCATAGCAAATTCCTTATAACAAGATTAAGCACTTTCTTTTTTTCTCCATTTACTTATTTACTGACCCAAGGTCCTCGAGGGGGTGATGCATATCCCAGTGATGTACTGGTGTTTGGTTACCTCTGTGACAGAGCGCAGGGGATGCAGAGGAATATTCTTTCCCTTTTTTATCAATTCTGGCACAGAAAAGGGGCTCCAAATTTTATCCAAGGGGAATGTAGGTATCTCCTGCCTGTAGCGCCTGCTGGCTGCAATATGCCGTGCTGTCAAGTCAGAGACTAGCAGGTTCCCTTTCAAGGGAGAGGCTTGTCCCTTGAAACATCAGGCCACAGCCCATCAGGTCTATCCCAACCAGAGGAAATGGTCTAAAGTTGCAGCAGGGGAGGTTTAGATTAGATATTAGGAAGAATTACATTACTGAGAGAGTGGTCAGGCACTGGAACAGCCTGCCCAGGGAGGTGGTGGAGTCACCATCCCTGGAGGTATTTAAGAAATGTGTAGACATGGCACTTCAGGGCATGCTCTAATGCCCAAGATTGTTGGGTTTTGTCTGTCTCTGTGTGTGTGTGGTGTGTGTGTGTGTTGGTTTGGGTTGGTTGGTTATGGTTTGGTTTTGGGGGTTTTTTTTGGTTTTTTTTTTTGTTGGTTGGTGTTTTGTTTTTTTTGTGGTTGGACTCGATGATCTCAAAGGTCCCTTCCAACCATGAATATTCTGTGATTCTCTGATTCTGTCTGCTCAGCTGGTGCCAGGCTCCTGGGAAGGTAGGAGTGCTGGGTTGTTTCTGCCACCATTTGCTATGCAGGACAGCCCATGCTACCAGTACAGATGTTCCCTCCAGAAGCTGTTCTTAGCTCTTCAGGCTGTTCCAAAGCTTTTCCTTCAGGTCTGCCCCTGTTCCTTCCTTTGGCAGGAATGTCATCGGGACAGCAAAAACCAGTTTTGCTGAATCTTGCTGAGAAGCCTTAAAGTAGCTCTGCAGTTTGTTGTGAGAAGCCTCTTCGTGCCCACTAGCAGCCAGTTAACACCATCTGCAAAGGGGCTGTCAGAACGGGGCAATCCTTTACCCTACAGTCAACACAGAGTTATGGCTTTATAGTGATCAGGAAGTAGCATGGATATGGGGTGCCTACTTGTCAAGCAGCCAGGCTCTGGCTCAGGGAAGGTGTAAGTGAGCATAGTCCACTGGAAGACAGGTAGCTGTGGTTAGAAAATGCTGTGCTAGATTAATAAACCCTGCTGTGATGCAAGGGTATATTTACTCTGGAAGGAAGCCATGCTGCTGCATAGTCATTGCTCCTGGCCAAGTCAGAGTGGGAATAAATGGAAATTGTGAAGGGCTACGTACGAACACCTGTAGCTTTATGGTATTCCTAAATCTAGGAGAGAAACTTCACATTTTGTCCAGCCTGTGTGTCTGAAAATGAAGGAGAAAGAACTGGCAGGCTTGGAGGACTGTGGAAGTAAGACCCCATTTACCACATGCATCCATATTATACAGTCATTTCCCTCAGTAGGGATGGTTGCACAGATGCTGTGATGTAGGAGAAAGTCACACCACAATGTGTGGGACAATGCTGGAGGCTGAACTCATTAGTGTCTCACTTGACTGACGGGTGCTTTAGGTGCTGGAACAAGCACAGTTCAATCCCCATAGCTGTCTGCAGTACCGCATGCACATAGCTGTCTGGAGCCATCATTATGTCTTAACTAGCAAGTCAAAGTCTAAGCACACAAAATATTTCTCGCACACAGAAGGCACATTACCTTTAAGCTGCCAATCACGCCACCCACCAGCAGATATAATGGAATTAGTGGCTGAACTGGGCAATCTTCCAAAAACTTCATTCCTGAACAGCAAAAAATAATGTTTGTTATCTCAAGTGATCAAATAGTGCAGCACACTGTACAGTGAAAACTAAAGATACTCTAAGTGAAGTGTTGTGCTTAGACCCAAGACTTGTATCCAGCATCTACTGAAACAGGGGCTGAATTAAAGGGGGTTTGCATCCCCCACTTCAGGAGTGAGGGCTGTGAACAAGCAAAAGGCAGGAGGAGGAAGAGGGAGAGCAAAGGTAACAGCAGCATCATGGTTGATCTGGCATTACTGATTGGAGCCACGTACACAGGTCATTAGCTTCAGCCACTGCATCTTTGTTAAATGAATGACTGAAGGAGCTGGACAGGACATTTTCATCAGCAGTAGAAAATTCATTGAAAGTTTGGGACCCAGCACCCATGGCAGCACCGGAACCATTTTAGCTTCCCAGGCAGCTGATAGGGAACCACAGAAGCTCAAGTTTCCAGGCTGTTTGGGTTGCTGGAGGCTAAAAGCATTGGTTGTTACGGAGCCGAGGATCCTGGCAACCCTCAAAAATCTACTGCTAGAAAGAGAAAGCTGGGTAGGTTTTAGGGAAGGGAGTGTATGGCAGTATAAGGATGTTGCTGGCAGTAGGCACTGCAGCTTGTGATACAGGTCTGAGACAGAGAGACTCATCTGTCCAAATATAGATGTCTGCAATGCAGGCATCCATATCTGAACTAGTTTCCTAGGCTCTCTTTATAGTCAATAGTGAGAAATAGACACTTGTAAAATTCAATTCATCTCATCCTAAGACAGACATTTAAAATAGGTCAGATGAGTTGGGCCCTGAGAGTGCGTCTTCCTCTCCGTGGCTATACAAGGAATCTAGACAGCCAGCTATAGATATCTAAAGTTAGCTGAGATGAGTCTCCTGCCCAAGTTTCTTACCCAGTGGCATCTTTAGCCAATTTTAAACTGTTCATTACACTATAATTTTATTGTTATTGATTCCATGTTTCAGGACTTCTACTCATCAGTCGCAGGGGACAGAAAGGCTTTTCTATTTTCTTCTCGTTGTGTAAGTCATTTTCAAGGATAAATTTTTCTCTGAATAACTGGGGTTATCTAGATGCAGGATGCTGAAAGTAATGTGGGGGTCTTCGTGCTAAACATTGTCTTGGTGCTAAACATTACCTTAGTGCTAAACGTGGTCTTGCCTGCATGTTCAGAACTATACTGAACAGGAGGAATCCGGAAAGAAATACTAGTGGTTTGGGTTTGGGGTTTTTTTTTTTTGCCTTTTTCTGTACCTGTAATCCTCTTCAGCTTATCAATTTGCTTGCCAAATCCCCTGCTATTGCTGGTCCAGAACATTGCTGATGTCCTGAATCTCTCCTGTGCTCTTTGCATAGCATAATGCAGGTGTTCTGGATTGTGGATGCTTGCTATAGGTCTTACTTTAGTCACAGGATACGAGGCGGTGTCTTGTGATCTGCTGAGAGTAAGGACTGTGGAGTCCAGAGGACTCTTCTACACTAAGTATTTATTACCAGCCTTCTCATAATTGGAAAGGGGTGGACTTAGACTGATTGGGACTCTCTCCCTTTTTGTCCCCTATTGCGAGGCTATAATTTTTTGTCCCTTTTGCCACTATGTAACACTGAGAGCTGCTCAGACTCCCGACTTCACAGGGTGGGCAGCGGGGAAATCGTCACAAATTATATCATTTTCAGAAAGCAGCTGCCAGGGGTTTCAGAGTCCTTGGCCCTGTAATAGCCTGCCTCAAAAGCAGCTGGCCAGGGATCTCAGGGAATATAGTTCAGTTTAGGAACCCAGGCAATTGCTATTTCCAGTGTGTTACTGAGATTTTGAGTTGAAGCCAAAAAAAAAAAAAAAAAATCAAGAAAACATGCCATATTTTTTCATGGAGCTATGATTCTGTTTCCCAGACAAATCTATTTTGGAGCCCTTTCATATATGTAACATGACAGCAGTCCATCTTGGGAAGGATTTGAATGACAGGGGGCAGTACTGTGTAGGTTTTGGGAGAATATTGCGGGCAGATGTGACAGCGAAAGAGGAGATGAAAGGGGGTAATACAGTAGTAACTTAAAAAATACAGCACTAAGGGTGAATAGGAAATATGGACCTACTGTTGACAGATGGACACTGGTATTTGTTACAGTGGAATCTCGGCACGCACATCATGTGCCAATCAATTCACACACATAGCAAGTGCCTGATTTATTTGGGAACACCAAAACTAGTAGGAGGGCATCAGTGCTCGCTCTTCTTTCCCGTGAGCACCAGATATGTTTTCCTTTGACTGCTAATGACGCGATATATGGACCATAAGAGATCAAAGCTCTGCATCTAGTGCAATGCTCCCTGCAAGCCAGAGTGATCTGTGGTTTAGAGCGAAGAGCAATTGAAGCTCACCACGACACAGACCAGTGCCTGAGTCCAAATGAATAAACCAGCAACATTTGCAAGATCAGACACAGCAAGGATGTCCAACAGCCTCCACAGCCTCCAAAGGGAAAAAAAGAGATGGGAGGCTTGGGGAAACTGAGAGACTTGCACGTTTTACCTCCTGGCTACCACAGAACAACACTGCAGTGGGATCCAGGACACAAAGCCCAGCCAAGTGGAAAGAGTGAGTGACCAGGATATGAGCTTCTCTAAGGACACTGTTTTGGGGAGTGCTGTGGCATGGCCCACAAATGTCATACTAACCAAGTGGCCTTGTGACTCGTGATTATCCATGAGATGCTTGACCTCATTTTGGCTGCTTTGCTCTTCTCAGGTAGCTCAAAATACCTAAAGTTCATCCTATAGTTAAGGAGGGCTGCTATATAGCAAGGCTAATCTGGTGTCTGCTCCCCATCTTCTCTTTTTGCAGGGAAATGGTGGAATCACCATTCCTGGAGGTATTTAAAAGACGGGCAGATGTGATGCTTAGCAACATGGTTTAGTGATGGGTTTTGTCAGTGTTGGGTTGATGGTTGGACTCAATGATATGAAAGGTCCCTTCCAACCTAGAAAATTCTATGATTCTATGATTCTAATAGGAGATAAAGAACACAACATGCCAGGCTGTTTTCAGTTGTTCCTGGTGGATGGCTGCAGCTGCCATCACTTAGCGCAGACCTCAGTTGGGCCCTGGACTGTGGTCGTTACTCTAGGATGCTGCAGAGGATTTATCTCAAAGTAATTTCTTCTGGGCACCATTTTATCAGAAAGCATCTCAGCAAATCAACGGAAACTCACAGAAACGGTGAGTGGCTGAAGGACTGAAATGCAAGGAAAGATTATGTTAACAGCAGCTGCTAAAGAATGAGATCAGCTCCCACATAAAGGGACAGAGTATGAGAACAGGCTTCAGACAACTATCGGGAGCACTTGAGAGTTGAGGAATTATTTGGTGTGGATATGAGCACGAGCAGTAGTACTGGGTTAAATCTGAACAGGGGAAAATTTAGACTGCCTATTGAGAAAACGATGTCATCAGCTTTCAAATGTGATTTAGCTACCCCTGGGGGATGCTGTGTATAAAGGCAGTCTGGACAAAGTACAAGAATGTGTTATTGGGAGCAATCCTTCACTGTCCCGGAAACTAAAAGAAATTATCAAAAAAAAAAGTCTATAAGGTCCTTTCATAGCTCACTGTATTTTTGAGTGTTTAGTGAGAAAAAGGGGATCATCTCTGCAAGGAAAACTTAGAAAGCTGCTAAACAATCTGTGGCTTAAATGATGTCACAAGTCTGGAGCTTGGAAAATTTGCCGAGTCCTTTTCATGTGTCTTGACTTATACTGTGATTTACAGTGCTACCAAATTTTAGAAGTGTATAATGTTAGTGTGTAATTATTACTGGAGCTACCAGTTTTTCATCTCTGTGTTTTAATGAATATTCTTATAATTTATTTGTTAACATTTGAAAATATCTCACAGTTTTCCTCTGCAGAAAGCTAGAGACAAAATGACTGGAGGCACATCAGCAAGTTATTCTCTGAGATCATGGTAACAGAATGTTATCAGAAAATCAGCAGCTTTTGCCTGGATAATAAATATCTGCATTTTCTGTGACATTTCATTTTCCTAAAAATGCCTTTGCAGATATGTAGCTGCAGGAAACCAATATCCTCTGACAACACCACATTACAGTGACAATATCTCTTAATTTCACTAAGTTGTGGAAAAAAAAAAAGGGCTCTGTATCTGATGCAGGAGATGCCCAGAGCTCCAGGCCAATATCTTACCATACACTTTCCAGTTCTCACTGATCTTAAAGATATTATGAAATATTCCTAGGAAACGATATTTATAAGTGGTCAGGCTCCAGTCCTAGATTCATTTCCAGAAGGCTAGCTGTCAATATGCATGCAAGCTGTACCACACTTTGAATTATACCTTCCCACCCCTATTCCACAGCTCAAGCACATTCAGCCCGGGGAAAAGCTAAAGCTAAAATCCTCTTAAGGGATAAATAGCAATTTTAAGTCATGGATAAGCATAAGAGCCTAAGTGTTGAGATGTAACAGTTCAGTCCGTTACCCTACTTCCTACTTGCTCCATAATCCCTCATTAGAACTCCCTAATTCCTAATTAGGATGTCCTAATCAGAATCCTACCACAGTCATCACTGGTACTCCGAAGGCCCCAAATAAAGGAAGCAGCACCAAACTTTAGATGAACAGGGTTTTTTATGGGTTTGGCCAACAATACTGGCCAACAGGCTAGGTGTCCCAACTCCCTTAAAAGTCATCTCATCTCAATGCAGACACCTAAAAGAGGGTGTAGGACTTTCATTACCAGAAACACCCATTTCTCTTGACTGCCTGCAAGGGCAGCACATGGCGGTTAGCTTGGTTACAGATGTGTGCAGTCCACATCTAGGTGGGATGCACCTTGCCCACAGCATCTGCACGTAGAGTTCCTTTGCACCATCTTCCACTGCTCACAAGGCAACTTCTCAAGGACACCCATCTGGAATGACTGTAAGGGCTCTTGAGGACAGAACGTAAAATTCAAAGTGATCTGGATACACTGGAAAAAGACATCCAAGATCTACAAGATGACAACCACTCACGAGGCAGAAGGTGAACAACTTCTCAAGGACACCCATCTGGAATGACTGTAAGGGCTCTTGAGGACAGAACGTAAAATTCAAAGTGATCTGGATACACTGGAAAAAGACATCCAAGATCTACAAGATGACAACCGATAAAGCTGAACACTGCGTATAGGAGAGAAAACTTTGATGTAAATAAAAAATGAGAAATGTCTGATAGGGAGCAGCACTGCCAAAAACCATCTGGGCTTACAATGCACCATAAGCTAAATTGGAGCCAATGAGTTGGTGCAGAGAGATCATCTTTCATTTTGAGGTGTGTTTACAGGAATCCTGCATGTTAAACAGAGGAGCTAATTATTCTGCACTGCTCATTCCTCAGGTCTCAGCTGGAGCCTTGTGTTCCTTTTTTTAAATTTTTCTTTTTTAGGAGAAAGAAAATAGTTACGTTGGCCAGAGGCCAAAGGCGGGAGGCAAAAATGCAAAAAAAAAAGCTACAGAAACAGCAACTTGTGAGGTCAGGATGAAAGAAGTAGGTTTTTGAGATCTCTGGGAAAAAAAGAGAAGATGGAGTGGGGTTATAATAGCAGCCTTCAGACAGTTCAAAGGTTCTCTTGAGTAGGACGGTGACCAATCTGTCTTTGTGACCACGGTGGGTAGGACAGGCTGTAATCTGTTTGATTTGCCATAGGGGAGATTTAGGTGGGATATGGGGAAAAATATTTTGTCTGTGAGAGCAATAAAATGCTGAAATAGGCTCCTTGGGAAGCCGTGGAATTTCCTTGAGCAAGGGCAAGTCAGACATCTGTCAGGGATGCCATGAGCAAGTGGGCCTGTCTGAAAGCAGAGGTGGGCCGGTGTCTCTACTGGTATTTCTCAAGTGGGGGTGGCAACCCATGTGGAGGATGTGAAAGGCCCAAAGGGAGCAGTAAAGTGTTAGAAAATGCTCAGTTTAAAAAAAAATAATAATTAAAAGTCTCTGTTAACGATAAGGAAAAGGTGATGGTTAAGAAAAGAAGAGCCTTGTGTAGTTTAAAAATGTGTAGAATTCTGCAGCTCAAGGGATTTTCCTTTCTTAAATATTTGATCTTGAAATGCTGCTTGCAAATCCAGCTTTTGGGGGGGTTATACAGAGACAGATCAGCCAAAAACCAGGTCTCACTTTCAAAAAGGTGGAGAAATAGCAGCCTAGATCATCTCTTCGTCCCTAGCAGCCCTACGCTCCTCAGATTTTTGCCTTGCACTTAATACAGAGGGATCCTGATTAGTGAAATCTTCTCAAGTGTCGGATTCTGAGCTCCCTCCCACAGACAGAGCCCTGTGTTGAGGGAAGACACACTGGAGGGGTTTTTAAGACAAACAGGGTCAGAATTCAAGCACTGCTTCCTCCCCGCCATGCAGTGTGGGCTGGGATTCTGTCTGAAGCTAGCACACAGGTTTAGCAGTTGGAAACTTTTAAGTTTTCCAGCTCCTTTCTCCCACCAAATGTGTTAACCTGACACACAGTGCTGGGAATTTCCTACTTTTAAATTGTTTAGTGGTCAACTTACCTGTAAAAGTCATGGAGAGTGGTAAGGCAAGGAAAGCGAGGAGCCCAAATATAAAGTATGCTGTGAATGAGAAAAGATAGATGGTGTTATTGGGGCTGGTTGAAGTTTAGAGACCAGTAATTCCATCCAATGCTTTACAGACGCTGTTTATCCATGAAGCTGTGTAGCAAGAAATGCAGCGCCCTCGATGGGGTGGGAATATTGTTTTTCTGGTGCAGCATTTGAGAAGATGAGACCAGCAAGCGGTTTATCACCCTCCCAGAGCTCAAGCTTCCATTTTTTAACTCATATATTGTTAGTCCTTGCATCGGGAAAAGAGCAATGAGAGACACAAACTGCTTTTCTTGCTACTACTTCTAGCTGTCTTATCACAAGGGCAAGGACCCAGCCACTGCTGCCTTAGGCTGCAGCAGCTTCAGAGGCACTGCCAGGTGACTGTGCAGTAACAAGTAACTTCACATCAGCTAATCCATGGCAACTGATGAGCCCGTATCTGTTTGCTAAGCAAATAGCAGCTTTAATGCCATTGTGCTTAGTTTTCACTGATGGCTAAATGAACTGTCTTTGTTGCAGATGTGAACGGCTTCTGGCTGGTCTAACTCCCTGACCCAGCCCAGCTGATGAAGGCAGAGGCAGCAGCCCCACTGCAAGGAGTGGGACCTGTCATTGGGGTAGATCAGCTTAAGCTCCGTGGAAGGATGCTCTTAGGGGTGCACATAGACTGTTCTCACAGATGAGCGGATCTGAGGTGCTTAGTTACTCCCCAGAGAGCTGCTGGTGTATCTGAGCCCTGATGTTTTCCCAGCACAGCCTGATGCTGCAGAGGATGAGTGCTTACCTCTGCAGAAAGTGAGAAACACCAGCGTCAAGAACAGTGTGAGCAGCCTGTCTTATAAGAGCTGTCACCTCTGTGCCTGGTCATGAGCCCGTTGGCAATATTGAAGTGAAATGCTGCCCTGCGAAATGAGGGCAGAACATAACGAGGACATTCTGTGGGGAGCGTCCCTGCAGAGCGCTTCTGCAGATGGCTCAATCTGCAAGTAGATGCCTGAGGAGGCAAAGGGGCGGTGAGCAGAGGTGGGTGTAGATTGCGGAGGGGCTGAGAAGGGCACAGAGAAGCAAAGGAGTAGGATGTCTCCTGGGAGGCTTGTGAAAAAAATCGTGGAGCGAGCATTTGGGGTTGGTTTGGGACCCAGGACCTTCCCCAGGCAAACTGTGTCAGGCAGTTCCCCGTGGCGGAGGCTGGTGACCTCTGCGAGGTGAACGGCATCCTCCTGTCCGCGCAGGAGTGGGGATGCTGCCAGCACCCTGCCTACGGTGCTGCTCTGGGGAACTCTGCAACGCTGCCAACACATCGCCCTCGGGGCGCCCCGGAGAAGAAGGCAAACATGGTTGCCTCCGTTTTACAGAAGGAGAAACTGAGACAGAGGACACGGGAGCGGCATCAAAATTCAGGGCAGATCCACCAGGCTTTCCAACTCGCAGACACTTTTCATGGGAACACACCATCCCCTACACGCTGCTCGTGTTTTCTCTGCAGAGAACGAGGATCTTGCACTTCAGAGCTGGAGAGACATCTTCCTTTCTCAGGAGGAGCATGTTTGTTATCTCTGTGAACTGGTAGGGACTGAAGATATTCTGAGCTGAAGAAAGCACTTCTGTTTCTTTGTGCAACCCCCTCCTCCTCTCCCCGGTTGGCTGGGCTCTCTCTCTCTCACACACACACGTTTTTGCTCAGGCTCTCCTGTCTCCTGAATTGCTGCACAGTACAGAAATCCTTCCTCTGCTTGAATAGTGTCCTACACTTGACTAAGCTCTTTCAGATGCTGACAGCCTCTCATTAGAACAACTCAGCCTCGAGCCTCCCTTTTCACCACATGTCACATTTCGTGCTCGCTCTTCTCGCTGTTCCATGATCTAGGCTATTATTTTCACATTTGCTAGCGTTGCTATTGTAGCTGAGGTGGGCTTCCAACACACCTATGAACATCACCTGCAAACAGTGCCCACAGTCCAGGCAGCTCATTTATCTGGTGTCCAGATGAGCACAGTTCAGCTCTGCCAGAGCTGCGTCCGCTGCCTGGTGTTGCTAGAGGTCCTGTCACAGCGACATGGCTCTCAAAACGGCATCACAGAATCACATGGGGTTGGAAGGGACCTCTGGAGATCATCTAGTCCAACCCCCCTGCCAAAGCAGGTCCACCTAGAGCAGGTTGCACATCACCCTTCTGCCTGGGATTCCTGCTTCTGCCCTTGCTGCAGGGGCAAGAACTCAGGAGCCTGGCAGGAGGAAGAATCATGCTGTTTCTTCTTCGTGCAGCGCGTGGTCTGTCTGACCCCCAGGGAGGGATGCTGCGGCGAGCTTGGGGGGGGACCATGTGTATGTGGGGCTGCACATCTGGCACACAGGTGTCCATGTTTGCTTGTGTCTAGCCTCTACCCGAGAGCTTGATTTTGGAGGGGAGAAATGGGAGGTAGGGACCACTCGGAGCTCAAGAGAAAAAGATAATGGTTCATTAATTCCCCTCCCAAAGCAGTCGCTGGGAATGTATTTGCTCATTATCTCCCCATTCAGCTACAGCCTCTTAGGTCTTGAATTGGAGGGGCAGATGCATAGTCTGGGAAGGCTTCCAGATCCATGTTTAACAAAGTGAGACTCTCAACAATTGACTACACAACTGGCAGGGCTCCGCAGCCGCTCTCAGCGCCGCTAGCAACACTGAAGACTGTTTTCCCCGAAACGTGTGGGGTTTTCACAGAAATGCTGCTCAGTTCGGGACACACGCGCTCTCTGCCTGCATTTGCCTGGGTTGGTGCTGCCCCGTTCTGGTCCAAAGATAAATTGCTCAAGAAGATGGTATTTGCCGCAGGGCAGCACAGCTCTGCAGAGACGCTGCTGTCTGTGCAGTTTCATGTGTGGGGCTTTTGATATTTTTTAAGTCAGTGATACCACTTCACAAGCTGGTCAGAGAAGTCCTTGGTCCCATTCCTAGAAAAAAAGCAGTGTCCAAACCCACCACAGGGTCAGGGAAGTGTCTCCAGACGTGGCTCAGAAGGACATCTGCCCTGGTGTCAGGGCATCAGGCAGGATGCTCCCCTGCTCTGTACTGCCAGGGCAACGAGTGGTGGGGCACTGGTAAAGTCCTGCTTTGGCAGGCATTAGTGAGTGAGTCCTAATGGGCTGGGAAATGGGTGAAGGGAAGAGCTCGTGCCTGGGATCCAAACAGAGGAAGAGGAGAGCAAGCAGCTTTACATCTTGCCCATTTGTTGAAATCTGTGGGCACAAAAATTGAATCAGTGGGCGCAGGTTTTGTGTCTCTTGCCCAGCAGGACAGTCAGCTGATATAAATCTGCTATTTAGCTGAGTTATTCCTGCCAGGGTCTCCCCACAGAAGTAAATTACTTTGAAATCACCAATAATGTTATGGCTGTATGTCATGGTCTCTCTTCTATCTGATGCCTCAGCTGTTACATCTTCCGTAGCCATGCCCCTACCCTGCAGCTCTCTTCCCTTCCCTCTGCTACTCCCTTCTTCTCTGTCCCCAGTGATGTGCCTGGCCTCGGGGCATGCAGCAGATGAGTTGTCCTCTGGCGTGTGGGATGGATCTGGAGGCAGGATTGGACGTGACACCAATTCACCTCCTGGGCTCCTCAGACTTCGTTTTGCTGCCATGATTTTTTCCAAGCACTTGGAAGTTTCAAATCAGCTCAGGCTGTCCTTGTTTACTTTGAAGACAGAGAAAAGTTCCTTTTTTTTTCAGGTAAGAAGTCCTCACGGGATTTTCAGAAGTGATTTATGAGTATAAATATCAACCTACCCACTCTTCTTAGGTAGTATGCTAATACGGCTGTAGTGCAACCTACTCAGTAGAGTGTGTGACAAGCTCTCTGATAATAAATACAGTAATAAATGAAGTGTTGTGTACATTGCCATCACTCCCAAATGCTGTTTGTTCTATAGCCTGTCAGGATCCTGATAAAAACGGATTATTATTATTTTTTTTTTAAATGAGATGCTACCAGCTTCCAAACAAATTCTGCGGTTACTCCTGGATTTATCTGCATGAGCGAGCCGAGGAGCAGAACTCTGGGGGTAACCTCGCAGTATTCCCATGAGATGCCCTGTGGGAGCACTGCTCTGAAGGGGGCTGACTCTCAGCTGTCTGGATGTGAGCAAATTCGGGTCCATTGGTGCAGCCCTGGGACTGATCATGCCCTGAGGCAGATGCAGATGGTAGTGCAGTAGCTTAGCGAGGAGTGTCACGGTGTGCTGTACAGCAGCGTGGACACCGGCGTGCTGGAATGCAGATGGGTAGCAGGTATTTTCATCCACGTTTTACTCCTTCACAGTATCTGCAAGCATCCCCTGCAGTATTGATAGGGACTTGGAGAAAGGATGCAGCATAGGGGGGTGCTGCGGTGGCAAAGCAAGTCTCAGTGGATCTCTCTGGGGAACCAGCTCTAGGAAGGTCATACGTTTTACAGACCAGGGGTGAGTCTGCCCACAGCTTTGGTAGTTGAGGGTATTGCATGTCTTTCTGGTCTTTTGAGTGACAGGAAAACGTCACTGTATCAGATGAGATATGCAGAAAAGACCTGAATGAGCTAACTTTGAAGGAAAAGAATTAAATCTGTGCAGCTTGGCTAGCCAATGGCCAAATGAGAGAAAATAAAAGGAGGTTTGAGGACTCAAAAAAGGACCTGTGAGTGATCCGAAGAGCTATAAAGGTAGAGACATGAGATGAACCTGAGCAGAAACAAAGATCACTCTGTCCATGAGGCTAAGTGCCATAGCAAGGAGATATATTGGTGGAATAATCTCTTAGGACAAATGGCAGGAATCCCACCCCTGGGGTGATTTAATCCTTTGGCCAAATGAGATACTCAGCAGCTGGAGGATTCAGTATAAGGAACAGCCATTCACGTGGAGGTCTCCAGCCCCTGTGCAAAGCCACCATAGAGGGCAGGGGAAGTGGGATAAAACTGACTTGCAGACCAAATCCAAGCTCAGCACCGGGAGCTGTTGTTTGCTTAGACAAGTACTGTGAAATAGTACTTTGGTACCCAGATAAACTATGCAAGCATCACTCCACCAAAAATTTAATTTCCAGGTTCCAGCACTGACACCAGCAAGGTTGCTCTTATCAGAAATGGTGTAGAATATGAAGGTGCCAGTAATCTGGGAACCTTCAAGATGGAGAGGATGTAGATGTAAAGGTAGAGGTAGATGTAGATGCAAGTGCTTTGGGGATTAAGCAATATTGCAGAGTTGCTCGTCTGAATTTTATGCCATGCCTCTAGCTACTGAACTGCAGTTATGCCATGGTCTAGGTACTGGATTTAGCCCCTTGTGATTAATTTCCAGATGTACTTTTAAAACAAGATTTAGGCATCACATGAAGAGCCACCAGTTTGCTCTACAACAGACCCAGAGTAGTGGATTAGCCTTTTTTTTTTCTTTTTAAATCAGTTAGTTAAAGACTGCCCTAATGTTCTGAACTTAAATGGCTGTACTAAGAATGAAAGGAATTTAAATGATCCTGCGCAGGTAGGTTGACTCTTCGGAGTCATTTAAATATCAGGAGACCATAGGTACAAATGTAGGGTTGTGCTGAAACACTCCTTGAAAAGTATACACAGGATGATGAGAAAAAGTGAAATTAAGTGTCACTGCACTTCAGGAGGGTTTGCATTTTAATGAACAGAAAATCAATTTTGGATGCACTAGCTGATCCATAGCTAAAGCTGAGCTGATTTTGAACTTAAATGTAATGAAAACACGAAGATAATGAGTTTCCTGGAATGGTGTTTCTGAGTTGCCTTACTCATGGGTAACTTTTTGGGTATGCAAGAGGGCACTCCTGGTGTAAGGAAGCATAGATGAGATCAGAACTAATCCCTTCCTCTTGAAAAAAAATTCAGAAAGATCATTTCTTTTCTCTGTCATTATTAAAGTCCTAGTGGCAATTGAATACCAGCGGGGAACAGTGATGTTTTCCTTGTAACAGGTAAGAACAAAAATCATAGAAAATACCACTTTTGCCTTTTTTTTTATTGTGATATTCACCAATGGCCCACATCCCACCTGCAGGTCCTTTCTGGCAGTGTGGGAGAGCCCATGCCAGCCCGGTCCCTCTCCCAGGTGCTGTCTGTCGCTCTGTCTTGGTTTTCTCTGAAGGGTTGTAAGGCAGGAAGGAGTTAAGGGGTTTAATCATCAATAAAAGTTCATTCCGAACTTTGAAAGCTTTTTGAGTGAAGCCAAAAGCAGGAATATAAAAGACTCAAGGTAACAGCCCTAGATTGGGAAACACAGCAATTCGTGTGGGTGAATTATCAATTACGGTGAGGGGTCAAGGGGTTTTTTCTTCCTCTCATATTTGAGTGGAATTAGAAATTGTTCCTCCCTAGAAGTTAAAGCAAAAGGTACTTGCAACTCGAAATTAAAAGGAGGTGCAGTCAGCGGGATTCAGCTGCTTTAAAACCCTTGGGTTTTATCCTCCTGCCAATGACACTGCTGCTTCCCTGGTCTTACAAAAACCTACCCCTGAAGCGTGTTCCTCCTGTGCCTCTCTGCTCAGCTTGCACAGTCCCCAGCTCAGGTCAGCTTTCTGCTGTGTTGCTCCTGGGAGAGCAAGAACCAGCCTGGTCACCCAGACCAGGGGCTGTCGGCTCTTTCCACCCCTCTGTGTCCTCCACCCTGGGTGGGATGAACCAGTTGCTGTCGTGCGAAAGATCTCCGTTCAGAAAACTGATGTTTTCTACCCACGACACGCCGTCTCTTAGGAGGGCTACCCACATCGTGCCAGGGGCCGGGCAAGTGGAGGGAAGGAGGTCCTGCTCCAAATGTCTCTGGGTTAAAGCTGGGGGAGCTATTCCTGACCATACTCTGTCACCGACCTCCTGTCCCCCTATCAGCAGGCAGGCTGGCAGCAGTTTGGCTTTGCAGGAATTGCCCCTGGGGGAGTTTGTTCCCCTGCCCTGCTCTTTACCAGCTGGTTTTTCCCTGCAGATACTTCTGCGGGACTACGTGTGCTAATACCACTGGAAACAGGAGACAGACACATTATGTTGCTTAGGTTGTCTGCTGTTAGGATAGAGTTACTATTGCATGCTCCATCCAAAATTGCCTGGGTGAAGGAAATACCTCAGAAAGGAGAGAAGAAAAACAAACTTCAGTGGAAGATTCAGGTGGGACTTGCTATCGTCTTAGTTCCTTTATATACCTGGCCTAGCGACGGGGCTGCTTAAATATGGAAGGTGATTACTACCATTACTGCCTTACCATTGCTGGCAATTTTAGATATGCACCGGTGGCAGGCTTTCTCCAGGCCGGCAGTCATTGTGAAGAGCCTTTTGGAGTCTCTGTGGGGAATACAGAAATGAACATGGTTACGAAAAAAAGTGTCTTTAACTTACTGAATATCTTGACTCAGAGTCACTCACACACTTTTGCAGGCTATCGCTACTCTCAAAACACTCAAAGTATCCACAAATCCAGGCAGCAGCCATCAGAGTGTGCCATATCCAGAGTCAGGCATGGGCTTTGGGTTTGCCTGCACTGGTGAGGCCACAACTGGAATATTGCATCCAGTTCTGGGCTCCCCAGTTCAAGAGAGACAGGGAACTACTGGAGAGAGTCCAGCATAGGGCAACCAAGATGATTAAGGGATTGGAGCATCTTCCTTCTCAGGAAAGGCCGAGAGAGCTGGGACTCTAGCCTGGAGAAGGCTGAGGGGAGACCTTATTAATGTTTATAAGTATCTAAAGGGTGGGTTGAAGGATGATGGAGCTAGACTCCTTTCAGTGGTTCCCAGTGACAGGACAAGGGGCAACAGGCACAAGCTGGAACATGGGAAGTTCCATTCAAACATGAGGAAAAATTTCTTTACGGTGAGGGTGCCAGAGCCCTGGAACAGGCTGCCCAGGGAGGTTGTGGAGTCCCCTTCTCTGGAGATCTTCAAGACCCACCTGGATGCAGTCCTGAGTAATGTGCTCTGGGCAATCCTGCTTTAGCAGGGGAGTTGGACTAGATGATCTCTAGAGGTCCCTTCCAACTCCGACAATTCCATGATGATTCTGTGATTCCGTGATGCTAGAGCCTTGGGGTCACAGCAAGGCTGGGGGAGAAGTATTAATGCTGTCTTCCTGGAACCTATAAAAGGTTCTATCTTGACTTTGATCAGGGTTAGGGCAGGAGAAAGTGTTTTTAACTGTTATGAGAAAACCCAGTGAAACGGGTAAGGTTCACTACATAAACCTTTGCAAAATTTATTTAGTGGGCAAAAATGAATTAAAGAAACGGGGAAGAGAGAGGATGAAAATAGTTTTAAGATCAAGGAGGATTCTGAAGAGGAATACAGAATAAAAACTGCAAACCACAGGGAGCCCAGAACAAGATGCCTTTGATAAAAAAGTAGCTGGATGAGAAAACAGCTCTTTGTGAAGAAGAATTTTTACGAGGTGGGGTGAGGGATGAGCAAGCAGCTCGGCATCCAAGGCCTGGGCCTCAGACAGCACCAGACACTTAAGTAGCATCCAGCCTCGATGGGAGTATGGAAAGCTGACACACACACACACACACATGCATGCTCTCCAAGCCTCAGCCTCTGGCCAGGGTCACCACAGGTCTACCACCACCACCGTGCGCGGAGGAGGCTGGGATGGGGGAAGCTGCTTTTCTGCACACAGCTCAAATTAGCCTCCTTAAATTTCCTAGTGATTAAAGAGCAATATTTTAAGCTTAGCCTCATCTTGTTCTAAGCTCAGATAAAACCCACCCCTCTGAGATTTCTCACCATACAATGCTGAACCCAACCTGACCAGAGGGCCCTAGACATGTGTTGAAGATAAAGACAGACTTTTGTGGCCATTCTCCCCTCTGTAGCTTGTCCAAGCCCTACCAGGCATGGCTGAGAAGAGCTGGCTGTCTCCTGGGACCTTTCTTTCTCCTGCAAGCTCAGAAACCCATGAGCTGCAGCAGCACAGGACCCTCTGCTGCCATGGGGAATGGGACAGGGTTTGCTCCTCGCACGTTGGCATTGCAGTTTCTGTTTCCCAGGGGTGATGGCAGTGACAGGGGCAGGTCTGGCTTTACCTGTTGGTGAGCAGCCAAGCAAGCAGCAGGGACTGAGGCTTTTGTGGACATCCCACCGGGTCAAGAACCCAATCTGAGACACTGTAGCAGCCAGTCACCAACATATATATCCAGGTTTCTAATATGCATCATCACATCAGGTGTGTCATGAATTTTAGCTCTCCTCCTCCAGCCCTCATCTTCAGACTATGCCACAAGCCTTGTTTGATGGGTGTTACTGCTGTAATAAACCTTGCAAATCCCAGTGGACACCTCCATCAACACTGAACGATGGACTGCAATGGAGATGACATAGGAGTGCCTGACCTCTGGAGAGTGCGTACTCCTCATCCCGGCCCTCAAACCTCCTTCAGAAGAACAAATACTGTGCCTTTGAGCTGCAACTATTGATAAATATTTAAGGAAGGAAACGGGCACTGTTGCACGCTCAGGGAAAAACAGGAAAGAAGAAGGGAAAGTGGTAGTTTTCACAAGCAAATGGCAGATTAATTTTAAACTTTAAAACTTTTGGCGCAGATTTGTTCCTAGAAAGTGCACAAAACAGGCATTCATTTTGAGTATGCCATTGGCTGCTGACAAATATATTCTAAATTATGCAGCGATCAGTAATATTAGTCTTTATAGAAATGTTTATGACTAGAATTACTTTTATAGCAGTAATTTTTACAGAAACCATGTTAACAAATCTAATGCCATATTAAAAATTGGTTGAATACCAAATTATCTTGAGCAGAACTGCATGTGGCTGGGAACGCTGTATTTCCATAAGCAGAGGGTAAAACATATGTTTTGTCTAAATTTGCTGTTATTTTACACTGAAGCAAAGACAAACTGAAGGAGGACTCCGTATCTGGGAACATGTCACCATCTAGTGATGGAGCCCAGAAATGACTGGAGCTCTGTGTGTGCCGTTTCAACGGGTGAGATAAAGAAAGCAAATTAATGAAAACTGCACACAGTGTGTGTTCACACAAGAACATAACACAGATAACCACCAGGCAATGGGTTCAGTCCTTCCTCAGACATTGGCTTTGACTCCTACAGGTCTGAGAAGTCCCTCAGAGAAGTCATGATGTTTGCTGCCTAAATAGGTGTTGCCCCTTTCCCCCAGCCCTTCGGTGATTCTGTAGAAGCTGCTGTGAGTGTTAAAGATGGATATTTTCCTGTGTGCCAATGCACGAGGGGACTGAAGGGCAATTCAGCAGCCAGGCAGCTGGGGAATGGGTTTGTTCCCCAGCTGAAACTGGGAAAAGATCACTGATGCAGTGTGAAGGCTGGTGGCACGCAGAGGCAGGGCAGATGTCCTGCCACACAGTGCCTGCTCCTGGTTTGCTGGTGAGTTGGAAAAGTCGCATGCAAAAATGGAAAACTCAGCCACAAGTAGGAAAAAAATTTAAAGACCAAGGCCAACTTCTGGACCTCCTCCCATTAGTTCTTCCCTGGGGTCATTTCCCTGAGGTGAAGGGACCTGCTCTTGTGTTACAAGGACCAGCAAGGTGGGCGGTGAAGGTTCTGAGCCCCTTGCAGGAGGCTGGGACCTCTCCACCCACCTGCTTTTCCTCGTGGGAGGTGGCAACCCAGCCACAGCATCCCTGTGCCTCCCCCAGCCTGTCCAGAGCTTCGCCGTTCGATGGCCTCTCTGCTGGTGGCTGGTGGCCAGGTTTGCCCCAGAGTGCTGGCTGCTGCCTGCCTGGCACTCATGCCGAGTCCCACATTGCTCCCTTCTGTTCTGAGTTCCTTGTCCCTGACAAGCAGCGGTGGTTAAGTCTCTGTAGCACAGACCCTCTATCCCTTTGTTATTTCAGCCAGCTTTAGCATTTTAACTGTTCTTCTGGTCATTATTCTCACCCTAAATGTTTCGGTAACGACTGAAAAAAACAGAAGCACTAATTGACTGGTGCATCCCTGACCCACGGCGAAGCCAAAAGGCAGCTTCCCCCTGGCCCCACCATACCTCAGCCCAAACAAAAGCCACCTCCGGCTTGTCCTACGGTGTTCAGTCATCCCAAACTGAGCTCTGCCCTCTCCCAGCTTCAGGTGCCCCACTCTGTGCTGGTGAGCACAGCAGGGAGAGTCACTGGGGCTTCCTAAGACCCTAGTTCCCACTCAGTGGCTCCCAACTGCCAGGGGCTCCTGCTGGGACACGGTAGATGCACGTGGGCCAGCAAGTCCCTCCGGAGCAGCCTCAAGACTCCTAGAGGCAACGATTTCTCTTTATTTTTCTAAAATATTCAGAAAAAAGTCCTCTCCCACGGCTGATTTCTTCCTAACAGACCATAAAGCCCCACACTGGCTTTTATCCTGGCACATCGTCCACTTCCCAGCAAATCCCTCTTACCTGGGAGTGCTGCGGGTGCCGGCTCCGGTTACCTGCCTGCCTGGGAAACCGGGCAGAGGAACGGCAAAATCCAGCCTCGGGTGAAATCCAGCTGGGATAGTCCTCTCGGGTGAGGATGAGGATGTGCTCGGCTTGTCCCAGAGATGTGCTGGGCTCCCTGGGACCCTGCCGGCGGGTGGTGAGGCACAGGATGGGGGGGCTCAGTTGCTTTTATTCCTCGTGGCCACCCGCGGGCACACCTCTCGGCGGCAGGGTGGGAGCTGTGGGATGCGGGAGCGCTTTGCCGGCAGAGCCCATCCTCATTCTGTTTCCCCACTCCCACGGCTGGCTGGAGCCACAGCCCACCCTGTGCCCTGTCAGGGTGTCAGCAGGGGGAAGCAAAGGACCCCACTCATCTGTGGCTGTACCGCAAAAAAAAAAGAGACATTTCCCTCGCAAAGTCTTCTGTTAGAAAAAAATAATTATTAATTTATTCAAAAATCGGTAGTGAATGGTAAGCACTTGGTTCATTCTTTGTGCAGTTCCCCCCTACCCCCCCCTTCCTATTGATGTAGTTGACAGAGTTCTTTGCAAACTGCCACATATATATATGTATAACCTTAACCCTTGGCTGGTTTACATGTCTTGTGTCACCCTATTGTGTCACCCTATTGTGTCACCCTAGGCAAAGGTCTATTTGTTCGGCGGTTATTTGCTCGGTCACCTTCCCATCAGCAGGTGCCAGTTTGGTATCTCAGGTCTAATTATCGGTGTGGCATCATTTTCTGGAAAGCCAGCATTTCTTTACAAGAGAAAGTGGGTTTGAGGGAGAGCACCTCTGCGGGAGAAGCGACAGCATAAATGGAGATTGACATGTATTTCAAATCCTTTCTGAAAGGGCCCACAAAGACAGAAGAGGTTACCTGCTGCGTTAGTCGCTGGCAGGGAGCTGACAAAGTGCCTGCTCCGGCTCAGGAGGAGCAGTTCTGCCTTCAGCTGTCAGGTTTGCACAGTTTGTCACCAGTATCTTTCCCAGTCCTAAAGGTCTTGCATCGAAAAAATGGCATCCACACTGGGGTCAGCCAAGGGCAGGAAAAGGGATGGTGTTTGATGGCAACTTTGCCTGCTGCTGGGTCAGCAGAACGTACGTGTACGTGCACGTGCACAAACACAAGCACATGCTGGTTTTTATACCCTCCATGCTTTTCCCGGGAAAAAGCACTGACCACGTGGTGATGTGACCCCTGTTTTCCACATCCTAGCAGAGTGACGGAGGTGGAATCCTGAGCTCCTCCCCACTGTGTCATCCCCTGGATGCTCCTGTTCTGAGCACAGGTAACACTGGGCCACCAGGAAGTTTGTACCACACCTTCTAATTCTAAACTAAGGTTTTAATATATAAAATTTAATGCAATCGAAGCCTTTGCTCTTCTGGGTTGGCTCTTTAGGTCCCATCTTTCACACGTAACGTGAGTCCTCAGAGGGGGCTGTGTGGCACAAGGAAACCTGCTGCAGGGCATGGCACTGTGGGAAGACCACCAAATATTATTAGGTCTTTTCTATAAAATGGTGAGAAATATCAGTGCTGAAAGCGATGGATCAAAAAAGAGGCCCAGCCTCCCACACTGACATCTTGGCACCTCCACGAGCCATCAGCTCCATGTGAAGAGCTGGCAGCGTTTCCTAGGGAAGGACTTAGACACAGAACATGGGGTGGCAGCAAATGCAGGGTGGGGTGAAACCCCAGCTAGAGCTGATTCTGCAGCCGCAAAGCAAAACAATTTCAGAGAGAAAAAGAAGAATTTTGCTAGTGTGTCTTCAGGTCCAGGGCTGAAAGCCTGGAAGGTTTTGGTTGAGGAAGTTCAGCAGCGAAGAGAAGGGTGAGACTAAGGCTTTTATTCATTGTGCTTAAGCAAGGGTTGAACACTTAAACAGAGAACCCAGCTCCTCTGTATAGTCAATGGAGACACTTCTTGAGGGCTCTGATGCTCTCTTGGATGGTTCGGCTTAATGTGGCTCTAGTTCTTCTTTTCTACAATCTAATATAGTTCCTTCTTCCAGTGGAGAAAGCTGCTTTTCCTGCAGTTGTTCCCAGGCCAGTGCCTGGCATGGGACATCAGCACGGATTGCAGTCATTTCCAATGACACTTGCCTTCTTTGGGGTGCTTTTTCTCACCCTCTGCAAAGCCCTGAGGCAAGTTTTGGCTTGCATGTCACTGCTGAGGTCATGCCACAGTGGTCACACATTCCAACCTATGGCTTTCTGGCTTGTGTGCTGATCTCCTTGTGCCGCTGGAGTTGCTGGCTGAGCTGAGCAAAAGGTCTCTCTGACACTGACACCAAAAGCACAAGCCAGAGCACAGTCTCCTAAAACACGGGTCCCCTCTCAGACCAGGAAGAACTTTTATATCTACCCATAACACGCGCTTGGGATTCCTTCATCACGTGCTTTTTTGGAAGAAGTTGCACCTCGACATGGATTTTCCTGGCTACTTAAGGATTAGTGTGGAGAGGGAAAGGGCCCCATAAAGATGCTGTCTTTTCAGTTTTTGTTTATTTTCAGTTTATTTTCACCCTCCATACAGGGCTTTCTCCTAACTTGATGACTCAGAAGTCAAAATCAACATAAAAATAGTCCCCCATCTCCTATGTTATTTTATTCTTTTCAAATTGGAAGAGTCTGACTGTGTCCTTTAAAGCTGCATGTAATCAGGAGTGTTACGTTTTCTTGTATAAATTCTCCTTGTATATTGAAATATAAACAGCCCATGGGAAAGAAATTCAGTGTACATTTCATTTCTTCCATTGTTCAAGGCAAAAAAAAGCATATTTATCTGCTGAGAAATACTCTGCTTACACAGAGGAAACCAATCATCAATACCAACTTACCAGCATTTTAATGACTCCCTGTAGGGATCCCAGAAATTATACCATTCAGTCATCACAGAAGATCATGGCAAACAATAATGGGGACCAAGAATCCCTGCGGCAAGTGCAGCTGGTGTTGACAGTGATACTTTGGGTTACCATTAAACTGCTTGATTCTGGTGATTCACGGAATTGTCAGAGTTGGAAGGAACCTCTAGAGATCATGAGTCCAACTCCCCTGCTAAAGCAGGATTGCCCAGAGCTCATCCCTAAGGACTGCATCAAGCTGGGTATTGAAAATCACCAGGGAAGGGGACTCCACAACCTCCCTGGGCAGCCTGTTCCAGTGCTCTGTCATCCTCACCATAACGAAGTTTTCCTCATATTTGAGTTGAGCTGAACTTCTAATGTTCCAGCTTGTGCCCGTTGCCCCTCGTCCTGTCACTGGGAACCACTGAAAAGAGTCCGGCTCCATCATCCTTCAACCCACCCTTTAGGAACTTGTAAACATAGATGAGGTCTCCCCTCAGTCTTCTCTTCTCGTGGCTAAAGAGCCCCAGCTCTTTGTGCCTTTCCTCATAAGGGAGGTGTTCTAATCCCTTAATCATCTTGGTTGCCCTACGTTAGACTCTCCCCAATAGTTCCCTGTCCCTCTTGAACTGGGGAGCCCAGAACTGGATGCAAGATTCCAGTTGTGGCCTCACCAGTGGAGAGTAGAGGGGGAGAATGACCTCCCTCAACCTGCTGGCCACGCTCATCCCTATGCAGCCCAGGATTCCATTGGCCCTCTTGGCGACAAGGGCACATTGCTGGCTCATGGAGATCCTGCCATCCACCAGGACTCCCAGATCCTTTTCCTTATTAGTACCTCCCAGAAGATTCACCCCTAACCTATATTGGTGCCTGGGGTTCTTCCTCCCTAGGCAGGGGAGCAGGTGCAGGACCTTACATTTGCCTTTGTTGAACCTCATTAGGTTCTTCTCTGCCCAGCTCTCCAGCCTGTCTAGTTCTCGCTGGATGGCAGCACAGCCCTCTGGAGTGTTGGCCACCCCTCCCAGTTTGGTATCATCAGTGAACTTGCTGAGGATACACTCTGTCCCCTTGTCCAGGTCATTAATGAATATGTTGAACAGGATGGGGCCAAGTATTGACCCCTGGGGGACGTCGCTGGTTACAGGCCTCCAACTTGACCCTGCTCCATTAATGACAACCCTCTGAGTTCTGTCACGCAGATTCAAAGGAAATTTTTAGGCAGCCTTAGGGAGATTCTTGGACTAGAAGTCCTGTTAGGGCAGTGAGTTATCACGTGCCCAGTCCAAAGTCCCCAGGGCTGTGAGAGTCAGGAGGTAAGCATCTCCATCTCCTGGGATGGTCTGGAAGCTGCAGAGCTCAGTGCGGGGCAGACGCTGTGAAACGCTTCATCCTGTCGACACACACAAGATCAGACCAACCACTTTCTTCTCATCCGCATCACCGAGGAGATGTTTTTGTGTGGTTGTCACAATAAATTACAGAGCCGCGTGAAGCCTGTCGCTGTGGATATTTCAGATCATCAGCTTCTTCCTACAAGACTGTCCTGGGGAAGGGAGGTTTATGTGCTGGTCTCCGTGGCACTTTACTTGGCTAATGCCCAAGAGGCAAGGCAGAAAAATGAGAAAATACCAGATCATTTGCTTCACGCTTCTCCTTACTTAGGACAATTTATCGTAACATAATCTAGGCTAAGAAACAGAGAGACAATGGACAAAATGTGCTGGGCAACCTATGGAGGGAGTCATTTTATTGAAATCCAGTGAGGGATAACTGCTCATGCTGCAGCTTTCCCTCACTTGGGTTACTCAGAGGGTCTCTTTTTTCTTCTTTAAATATGCAACACGCAAGCAGAGTGGGACAAGATTTGCCTTGTTTCCATAGGAAAGGAGATTAAAAGACACAAAGGTACCAGCTGTGGCTGAGGATGTCTGTGAGCCTCCAGGCCTGGATGCTGGGGGATAATCCTGGGAAAGTAACAGGAGATGTTCCCTAGGTCCATAGTCACTGTCCAGGGCAGGGTAATGGGCTGGGTCCTCACCTCATTTCCTTGTATCTCTGAGTCTTCAATTAGTGTATCAAATTTTACCAAATTCAACAGAAGTTATTCAGCGGGAACAACCAGACAACAAGACAGGAGGCTACAAATGCCCACAGTGTGGTTCCATAGGAAGCCAGGCTAAAACAAAATGCCGGTGTTAGAAAAGTTACTAATGAAATGTCTCTCTGAGGAATCTTTGCTGTTATCCTACAGGGTAGGAAAAAAAAGCTTTCTTTCATTTTTATTGAATGGCGTCCATCGGACATGGTCTCCCACTGGTAATTCAGGAGGTGAACCTGTGCACTGTTCTGTGTAAAGAAATTTTTCCTTGAAATAATAAATACCTTGCTTTAAAGACCCCAGTCCTCTGT